CTCGCTGCATCGGCCTCATTTCTATGCCGACTGAATACATCATATTTTAGATGTCACTCAAACATAAAGACATGGCTGTTATCCAGCTGGCTGCAGCCGGAGTGTGAAGTGTGTGATAATCAGGGTGAACAGTGTGATAATCTGCTTTATGAAGTACTTTATGATTAAAAACTTTAATAAGTTTCAATCCATTTAGGCCTCTTAAAAGCAATCAAACTCAGCAAATGCTTCAGAATCCCTCGCACTTATCTTTTAATGGGTTATTTTAATGGCTTGTGCTAATCCAAATATCTAAATTATTATCAAGAATCTGCTATCATGTTGATGTTAGACTCTGATACGTCTGGCTTATCTGTCTCAGGAGCCACACTGAACCCTCTAATTGGCCTCTGCCACCTTCAGTAACTTCACTCCAGTTCACTCAGTTTTAAATGGACCAAATTATTTCAATATTTGGGGTTATACAGCATCTTCAGCTTACATTTAGAAATGGCATTTCAATATTTGTAGTCAGTTTGTCCAGCAAAAGTCAAGGTGTGCAACAGGGCGGCGTCTTCGTCCTGTTTCTGGCCCCTAAACTCCGTCCTGGAACGAGTCCGGACTGCGTCCGAGTATCAGGAGCCAGATCTGTTCAGCCGGGTTCCTGAGAGACACAAACTAAAGCAACAGAACCTGCTGAGGACTCTGTAAGGTACCTGCAGCTCACTGCGTTGTCTCCTGCTCTGCGACCCCAGGTCGCCTCGCTGTCGGTGTGAAACGTTTCACCCAGAGGTTTCGGTCAGACTGTGAAGTTATTGCTGTTCAGTGTGAACCACACAAACTCTTGTGGCTTCTGAATGAAAGACGGATCAAGGCGACGTCCGGCTCAGATACAGGATCCATGATGCATATTTATGATTTCCAACTCTGAAATCATAAATAATAAAACCTTATTTTCACAGAGTGACTTTATGCATCAAGAGATCTTAAGAGCTTAGTGAAGCTGGGCTTTGCATTTAGAGATTGCTCCAGCTGGATGTCTGGAAAAGCTGCATAATGATCAGATCCTGAGGTCTAATCTCTGGTTTTCAGCTCTGCTTCTGTTTTCATCTTTTCTTTATTGTTCAGTTGCCATTTTAGTGTTTCCCTTTGTGTTAGTTTATTCGGGATTCGAACCTGATTCTTTAGATGAATGTTCCCTTCTGTTTATTGTTGTTTAAGTTAGTTTCAGGATTGTCCTTTCATCCTGTCTCTCATATTTAGTTTTTTTATCCCTTCCTTGCCCAGCTGTTTTCCATCTCCTAGTTTCCCTCCTCTATTCTCTCCTTCCTTAGTAAATATTTAGTATTTTAGTTTCATCGTTCTCCACTGGCTTGCTTCCCGTTAATCTTTATTTTTCTCTGTATTTTTCCTCAGCGACCTCCAGTGTTGTAAATCTCCAGTTCTTCATCTTTTACTAACATCATTTTTATCTGCAAGTAACAAACATCTGTGATGTTCGCTTGAGGCTCAAACTTCAACTTTTGCAAAACTCAAGCTGAAAATTTCACTGTGCTGAACAACACAAAGCACTGCATCTTGTTTTCATCACAAATCTGAAAAGTGTGGTGTGCACTGAACTCTCAGCTGACTTCTAAAGGACTGCAGTGGTTTATATCTGGAGCAGTTATATGTTAGCAGTTGGGTATCCTGGTGGATTATCTGGTCGTTGATTCTTTGGTCCCTGCAGGATCAGCTCTACTTCACCAAGCCTTTGTTTTCACATTGTGAGGAGGTGAAGACAGGAGTAAAACAGGATGCAGCCCAAACCGTTTGGAAATCTAAACATTCATGTTTTCAGAAACTGCAGATAATCAGTGAAAGGGTCACAGAGTTTGTCTGAATTTAATGCCATTTTGGGAAGATGAGGAATGGTAAAATGCATTTACTTCTGTTTGCACTCAGAGGTTGACTCCACAGTTTCAAAGTCAGTGAGAGACAGAATTTAAATCAGTGCATCTTTCCTGACTGGACTTTTGTGTTGTGGAAATCAAACGGAGCGGACTCTGGAACAGACTGTGGCATCCAGAGTTTACCTAGTTTTGCACATCAAGCTTTTCCGCGCCGCCTTTTTACCAAGACTGCGTCCTCCGCCCGGCGTGCGTCTATCAGTGACCTGCACTGAGTGCTGGAGGATGTGTCTGGGTTTCTAAGACCTGCAATACATTGTTTCAAACTGCCAAGGTGAAAAGGAGAGACAAGGGCCTGAGATTAATTCGAGCCACAGTATAATGAGGCTGCTCTCCGAGTTCCCTGGTGAATAAAGACAAATGGCTTTTGTTTGTGCCAGCTTTGCCATTGTGCACTGATAACTTCAATAAATCCATTTCATGCTCAAGTTTCATCTGCCACCAGGAAGAAACTGCAGAAGAAAAAAACTTTAATTGAGGGAGGCTTTTATCAAGTGACAGAAAATGTTCATCCTGTCATTGAGGTAATCCCAAATGGTGAGAGGGGGGGGGGGGGTGCAGGCAGGCAGGCAGGGAGGGAGGGAGGGGCTGCTGGAGCTGGGATGACGGAGCTGTCCTCTGGAAACTTCATCAGGCTCGACAAACACATCACTTCTGATCCAGTCCTGCTGAACTGGGATCAGTTTGCAGGGATCTGAGAATCCTGAAGGCTGGGAAGTGTTCCTGTTAAGGTCAGGAGATCAAAACGCCGCCTGGATGAATTCAGACGTTTTCAAGTGTTTGTAGCAAAAACAGGATTTGCTACAGGATTTGTTATTATGGATTTGTATTCATAATAACATTAAATCCTGCTTCAGTCTCCCAGATATTCCTCTTGCTGGATAGAATTATTCATTCGATTCTATTTTCAATCCTGGTTTGGTTTGAGTAACTAAAGTGCAACCAATCAGGAGCAGCCAATCAGGAGCAACCAATCAGGAGCAGCCAATCAGGAGCAACCAATCAGGAGCAACCAATCAGGAGCAACCAATCAGGAGCAACCAATCAGGAGCAACCAATCAGGAGCAACCAATCAGGAGCAGCCAATCAGGAGCAACCAATCAGGAGCAACCAATCAGGAGCAGCCAATCAGGAGCAACCAATCAGGAGCAACCAATCAGGAGCAACCAATCAGGAGCAACCAATCAGGAGCCTCATCAGTTTAACGGCTTAAATATCGTTTCATTTCTGGTTCAATAAGCTCGAGATCATTTTCCAAAAGGTTCAGATGAGATCTTTGCCTCAGAAAAACAAGGAAAACGAAACAAAAGGCTTTAAACTGTCAAAGTTTAGAGCAAAGTTCAGGTTTAACATTTTTAAATGGCCAGAATATATGGTAGAAAAACAGGAAGAGAATCAGGGATGCTTCCAACGACTGACTTCCAGCAAATCAACCAACCGACAGAAGATTTAACGCCACGAATGGCAGCAACAACAAACAAGATATCGACGCTGCAAACGACCCTGGACATCAGGAAGACGGAGTTTCACCCCGAGATGGAGGAATGGACGTAGAAATGTGTCTGTGTTTCGTACCTCTGGTAAGGCAGAGACTCAGCAACAGGTGTTTGAAGGCGACGCTTTTCTGCAATTGTTTCCTTCTGCATTTATTTTATTCAGAAAAGCCAAAAACCACCACAAGCCCACTTACATTTGTTTTTTATTCTTTGGAAAGCTGAGGAAGTTCTTTGAATTTCCATCAACCTTTTCTACTTAAATATCTCAAAATACACATAAAAAAGGAACCTTGGTGGAGACACAGCCAATGACTGAAAGCAGATTCCTGACTTCAAAACTCAGTGACTGAAGAACAACTGAGGCACTGAGGGTCAGTTGCAGCAGTGAAGCTCATACCAAATACTTCACCTCTTCTGGAAGAGGAAGACTCAAGAGCATACTGAAGAGAACAGCTGAAGCCCGGTGGCGACTTTTCTTCTTCTGGGATTGGAAATTTGTGGAGCTGGATGGAAGAAAATGCCGTCATTGAACCTTAAAACAAGCCAAAGCTTTTCTCAAAGTCCAGGTTTTGGTCGGGATCTGGAGGATGTTGGAGGCGCCATCATGGCCGCCTGACCAGGATTTTATGCTAAATCTCTGAAACACAAAACCATCCCAGGATGTTGGAGCTGCTGTCCGGCTGAACATTGTGTTGGCAGTATGTCATAGCAACAGAAAGTTGAGCTCATGCTCAACATACAGGCCTAAATAATGTTGCTGTGTTGAGTGATGTGTTCACTGCTAACAGTTGTAGCTGCATGAAGCTGACAGATAAAGAACATTAACAAAAAGATCCCAAAGGGAGGAAACGGGAAAGCAGCAGAGGAAGGGATCCAGAGCATTACACATTTCCAAGCAGAAAACAAAATGACGGCTTCAGACGGAGAACAAAGAAACCCGACGGTGCATCTATACTCAGGCTGTGGCAATTCAGCAGCTAATGAGCTGCAGGAAATAAAGACAACTAAAGTTTAGGTGAAGGAGACAACAGAAAATAAAATGACAGCTTTGCAGATTCTTTTCTGTTATTTTAGGTTTACTAGGCTGTTTTTAAATAAATGAGCTGCCATGAATAAAGTAGCTTCATTTTAATGCCATTAAGGTTGATTTTTCCTTCCAAAAATAACTTCTTTTAGTCATTCTGATGGTTTAAATGATGATTCTGCTTTGATGATTCCTGCAGGTTTGAAATCGAGATGATATCTGTCATTAAGGCCGTCCAGTCATTTTGATAAAAAGCTGCGGCGACTTCGCCTGAACTCAACAGAACCTTTTCACAAATGAAAATAGAACCAGCCAAACTATCAAACACTTCAACATTGTCTGTATTTTTAGCTTTGGTTCTGTGATGCAGAAAGATGATCCATTTTCTTAAAGCTGTGTGAATCTTTGACTCTGTGCATCGTGTTTTTATCTATAATTAGTGGATGTTGCTTTTCTCCTTGTACTGGTTCTGTTCCACTCGGTCCGCCGGGAAACGGGTTTCACCTCAACAATGTCGTCCTTTCAACACAGAACAGAGACCACACCAAAGGATGGAGCTGATGTACAAAAATACATTTATTTCAAACAATTTCAAAATGACAGTTTCCTTACTGTAGAAATATTAAAATAAGGATGGAACAGGACTTTACTAATGATGCATGCATCATAGCTTTTTTTGTGCACTGAAGAACATTACAATGCTTTCGCCTCCTGGAAAAAAAAAACACAATTGCAACAAATCGCTGAAGGTAACATTTGCCTCGTCTGGGGATCCGCTGTTCACGGCATAAAGAGCCTTTTGGGTTGTTGGGGGAAACTTCCAGTGATAAAAGTTGAGATATTTTCACTGGTGACATTTTTAATGTACTATTCTGTTCAAACTCAAAAGCGAAGCTCAGACCCTTAGAGCAGATTTATTTCCATTCCCTCACGCTGCAGATCCGGCTTCACAGCAGAACAGAAAGAAAAATGATGCCTGAGCTGATCAAATGTTTTCCTTTCATATTTAAAGGACTCACACAACCGTGCATTAACTGCATTATTGTTCACAGCTGAACTGATCATTGGTTGAGTTTTAAACTACTTAAGATACATTTTTGGCACTTTATATTTTTCTCCTTTATAATCAGTTTTAATGGAGTTTTTCTGTTTTCCAAACAAAATCTGGAACTGAAAACATTCATTGGTTCATTTGCTTCTAAATCCTTAAGGATGTTGTTTTATTTCCACCAATTTGAATGGAAAACTATTTTTAATAAAGTTTTTATCCAAAAATCTTTGACATATTTACTGGCCTTGAGAGAAAAGCAATGGGTAAGAAGGAGAAGCCACTGGTGCAACAACTTATGGGTCCGTTTCCAAATGAAAAATGACTTGTTCAAAATCTCGGACCACTTCATCTTCACCAACTGTTTGTTGATCCCACATCTGAAAAATTCAGACTTTTCCAAGAATCCGAGTTTCCAGGTTTTCCTGCACATCCAGAGTTTCCTGGATTCCTCAACAATAAGACTGCAAGTTTATTTAATGCTGCAGGCGTCATGCAGCCGAACACACACTGCGTTTACAAAACTTCATTAACTGTAAACGCTGCAGTTCAACACGTTGGCATCATGAAGCATCCCGGGACTTTTGCACATGTGGCTCTTCCCTGCAGCATTTTACACCAGCATCAACACTAACTTTACTTCCTGATTCCCAAAGTTTCTTTTCTCCTCATCTCATTTGATGAAAGCTGCAATAAAAAGTATCCAAACAAGCCTCAGCTCTGTGAATACAATAAAGCTGGAAATGATCTTTGTTCTGTATGCAGGAACAAGCATCAGTCCTGTTTGGTTAATGCTGACAGCCTCTATATCTCTGCTGCTGAGTACTCTCTTCTTCTCTAGATGTTTACATGAGCTGGTGGGGAAGCAGTGCATGCTGGGATCTTGGGCTTAGCTGTCCAGCGTTCTCTCATTACAGTCACAGTGCAACTCTGCCTTATTTCAAATCATACTAGCAGGATTCAGCTGCATTAATACATCGACTGCTCTGCTCTCCTGTCATTGAAGGAAACCTGGTGGAGTTCAGCAAAAAGAAAATACAAATGATTTGATCTGTTCTGGTTCTAAAACCATTTCATTCTTCTGACCTTCCACTAAAACACAGCTGGACGTGTCACAAAAACACTGTTTTTCTGAAGGTGCCCTAAACACACCTTAAAAAAACAGAAAACTGGGAGCTGAGGTTCAGTGGATCCCCGGTACCAGAGAGGGTTTGGTACCAGAGAGGGTTTGGTACCAGAGAGGGTTTGGTACCAGACAGGGTTTGGTACCAGACAGGGTTTGGTACCAGAGAGGGTTTGGTACCAGAGAGGGTTTGGTACCAGACAGGGTTTGGTACCAGAGAGGGTTTGGTACCAGAGAGGGTTTGGTACCAGAGAGGGTTTGGTACCAGAGAGGGTTTGGTACCAGAGAGGGTTTGGTACCAGAGAGGGTTTGGTACCAGAGAGGGTTTAAGGGAGGCTGGATTTTATTGCTTTACAAATAACAGCTAAATAAACAGAACAACTGAGCAGAATAGAGAGAATTTATTAGTTATTAAATCCTGATTATATTTTATGAGCTCATTTACATAAAGCATTGTTAGTTTTAGTTTATTAGATGAACTTTAATCTTTATATAGAAACTTTAATCTCAACATTTTCTCTTCATTGCTGATTTGACACCTTCAGTTTTTCCTCCCATGCAGATCATGAAGCTTCATCAAAACACATTATTATTGTCCATCTGTTAAATTGGCACAATAGAAATGTTTGATAGTCTGGGTAATGACTTTCATCAACCATCATTTTTTGAGTTAGAACAAAATATTTTCTGCACATTATGAAAACGTCAGAGTTTTTTCCAAAGTTGCTCTAAAATACTGTGAACTGCAGATCCAGTCTCCACAAATCAGGACATTCAGAGGCAAAATGTGATGCAATGATGCCAGTAGCTATTAATGTTTGGTTCAAAGACACTCATCTAGTTAAATGTCTGGTTATCTCGAGTATATTTCTACTGAAAATATAAATATATCATACACGATCCCCCTCATGTTGATCCGTCTCGTTTTGTTTGCAGAGTAAATCTGTTAACGCAGCTGAACATCAGCAGATCGACCCGTTTCAACAGCAACCGAAGACGACGAAAGCAGAACAGAACCGGGCCCGATCCGACTGGGCTTCCACCAATGTTTAGAAAAGAACTATTTACAACACTTGCTTATCTACAAAACAGAAACCGTGTCCTCAGTGGGAACATGCACAAGTCAAGGACGTCAGCAAAGCAAAATGTTTCTCCGTCAGTCTGACGTTTCAAACACCTTCAAAAACAAACCGCCGTCAGATCTGATGCCGTCCGGCGCCATGAGAACACCAGCATGTAGAAAGGATATTTACATGTAACAGAATAAAAGATAATACTATACATTTCAGTAATATTCCCTGTTTCATTGAAGACTGACAATATAGTCTACATTTAGGCAGAAATGATTTTCAAAGCAAACATCTCAGGAAACGTACAGAACTTATCCACAGAAGATAATTCCCTCAGCAGATGAATGGAGCGTTTACATCCACGGAAACCCAAAAGTCTCGCTGCAGAGATCGCATCGCTGCATTGGATGTTGCCCAACGAGACATCCATGCAAGTCTGTATAAATGAGGCCTTTTAGAAAAACTATTAACATCAGTTGTGTTTAGAATTACAAAACAGAAATGGAGAAGAACCCCGGACACCGTGACACTCGCTCTGCACACAAACTCCAGCTTCTACACGCTGGTACAGTTTGGGATCTCCCTTGTGCTCTCGCAGGCGTTTCCGACTCCTCCTGGGCAGAAAACACACAATTAATCAGATGAAGAACCGCAGACAGTTCAATAGTGTGACTTTCCAGAACAGAGGATTATTTTGACATCGTAATTAATTGCTAATCACAAAGATCTGTGGCTGGAACAACAAAATGCCCACTGACTATAATAATTATAGAAAAAGTTCTCAAATAATCACACACTTCATTGTACATTTTTCCAGTCTTTTGTTGATAACTAAAGAAAACAAAGAGTAGTGTTTACAAAAGCAGGCTGTGAATCTAATATTTTGACAACTCAACAGATTAGTTAAGGAACATGAAACAAAAACAACATCAAGGATTTATTATGAAGAGCGTTTTGATTTATGACTCCAGAAGCCCAGTGAAACTGTCTGATGCCCCTTATCAGGTCGTTTCAGATCCGACTGAGAGAAAAGACATTTAAACTGATTTATAACAAACATTCAATAAATTATTTCATGATTTGTCCTTTTGCATTCAGCCATGCAAAATCTGAATATAATCTGCAAAACTGTGAAACGTAACAAAATGTCTCTGACAACCCTAAAAGAAATGCTAAAGTAAAGCAGATGCAGACAGACACGGACTTGGACTAGGCCACCTTCCTCCATCACCCTGTGGTCCAGTTCTGATGATGGACCCATCGATGGTTCTTCTGTGAGACGACGGGTCACAGACTGGTCTCCAGCTGTGCAGCTCCTTAGGGATGAATTGTGAATTCTGACCTCTTCCCATCTGAACCAGTATGATCTTCTTCACTCATTTATTGACCATCCAGTCCAAGAAAACCTGACCAGAGCTGCATTTTGCTCTGATCCAGTCGTCCAGCAAACTTCCTCAAATCCCCAAATTTTCCTGCTTTGAGCTTCAACTGGGAAGTAAAATTCCTTTAATGCGCCAGCAGTAGAGTCCGTTTCTCTTTAGACCCTTTGCTGACTTGGAAAGTTTTAAGCTCAGTTTCTCCCAAATGTACTTTTTCCTGATAAATTACTAATTTACTTGTCTTTTTTGTAAACCTTCAGTTGAACAAAGTTCAACATCGGTGTTGTAGTTTTGTTTGTCGACTGTTAAGAATGAATCTAGTAGTTAAACGTTTTCCTTTTTTCCCCAAAATAACTTACAGGTTCTGGAGTTTAGCCAGAAACATTTATAGTTAAATGACTTTTAAAAATACCACTAAATATCATGTTAGCTTTAGCATCAGTGGAGCTAATATTTGCGACCAGAGATTTAGGTTTAGCAAAACTAACTTATTAGCTAGCAGTGCCCACCAGTGTCTGCTACCCACTAAAGAAGAGATAACTAATGTTACTTACAGATGACTAATGTAACTCAGAGATAACTAATGTAACTCAGAGATAACTAATGTTACTTACAGATAACTAATGTTACTTACTTCAATTTCCCTAAACACCAGATCATTCATATCCGTTTCTAGCAAGGCTTCACATTAAACTCCATGCTTATTTTTTCAGCCTGTTTAGCTTCGTTTTCTCTGAGAAGAGGAAATGGCTCCATGTCTGTGATGACTGAGCTGAATCACATGCAGCCTGCAGACTGACAGCTGGAAGCAGTTTCTCCAGACAAAACAGTGATTGCTCCCATCGTTTGACTTTGACTTACTCTTGACCCGGGCATCCAGCTCCTTCTCCATGAGCTCTTTGGATGCTGTGAATTCGCTCAGAGTGATTTTGGGCGTGTTGTCGCCCTGACCGACCGAGCCGATCATCTCCTGCTCCTTCTCCTGGTTCACCTCGGCGTAAATGTTGATCCAAGGTATTTTTCTACGGATTGGAAAGGGAAGACTCAGTCAGTCGTTTCTGTTGCATAAGAAGTGATTACTGTGACATCCAATCATCTGTTTATGCAGAAGCTCATTTCAAAGAGAGCAACTTTGTCTGCTAAAGCAAATATTTGCATTCCAAGGTTAAAATCATCTTCAACGTAATTACATTTCTGTAATTTATTTATGTGGAAATAACAGTAACATTGGAACTCTGCATAATTTACATCTCATATATTTTTGTTCAAACTCTATCCAATTTATTTCTAATTACTCTTCATTCCAGTTATTAATTGCTCTGGTTTGTCGACTGCATGATTCCCTAAAAAAATATTTTCTCTGAGTGACAAGAGAAATGACAAATCCATAATTAATGACAGAGTATTCCAGTGTTTTCATATTCCCACTGAGTTTTCAAAATAATCACTTTGAGGAAGAAATAATTTATTCAGCAAATAAAAGCAAACTCTGCATATCAAACCACTTAAGAGTTATTTTTTCTGCTATTTTATGGCTGATTGCACGCCTGATGCACCGCAGCCATTAAAAAGTAAAGAAAGCGTTTGACTGACATTTTCAGATTCAAAGCATCAAATCTGACTTCAGCTGATTGGTACAGGCCGTGTTAATCTCCTGTCATCAATAATGGAGAACACAGTAAAAGAGCTGGCTGTGATGCTGCTGCGTCTGCAGCAGGTGGATGTAATCAGAAAGTCCAGAACCTCTTAAACTTGTAGATGAGGAAGACGGCGAGGCCCAGGAACACCACAGAGAGGAGCATGAGCATCGCCGAGCTGCTGTGTCTGGGACTGGAGTCCACCAGCGGCGCTGTGGACACACACAGGGACGCAGCTGAGGAAGAGGAGTCATCTTCATCTCACTTCACACTCGTATCAGCAGGTGCAAAACCCGATATCAGAAATCTAACACCTAAATCTGGTCACGACGCCGAGACTAAAATAACAACAATAATAACAATGAAAATGGTTTTAAGGAAAAGATCCAAACACAGAAGAAAATAATAAAAAATATGTGTAATAGTTATACTGGGATTCTCATTTCAGTGGGAGCAGAGTAAGTTTCATGTTAGCACCTTTAAGCACCGTATGCAGAGTTCAGGATGAGTTTAAAAGATTTGGGAACTTTTCTGTATTTAACTTTAACTGTGGATTACAGAAGATACAACGTGAAGTCAAACTGCAAACAATTATTTCGCTTGATGTTCACATGCATAAAGACTCCAGACTTCAGCTGAGATGGAGATTTTTAGGTCGGCATCAGAACTGGATGAAGCTTTCACACCGACCCAAATGGACCGGACTTTCTGCACAAACAGGCTGGAGTTTGATGAAAGCAGAATAAACCTTGTTGGTGGGAAGGAGACATATTGCTCTGCTTGTGCTTTGAATTTAACGACTTTTTGGGCTTATCTCAAAATTCACCATGCAAACATAAAGTTTCCATCACAATTTATATGGAGAATGACTTTTTGGTATAAACAACAACTAAGTGGAATAAAATACAGTGCCCAGCAAGGAAGGTGGCGGTGCTTTATAGAAAACACAGAAGCATTTCTTCTTCTCTGTTTACTGCTCCTTAAATGATGTAGCTTAATTGGATGAGAGGTTTTCCTTAAAAACATTCTCTCTTCCCATGTGTCCTCAGCTAATTTGCATGGCAATAAGCCATTAAGTCGCTGGGATTTATTTTAATATCTGGAACATCTGAAGGTGTAGCAGCATGAAATTGTTTCTGAGCAGGTGACAACAGCAGGAAATTCACACTTTTCAGCTGGATTTGAAATGCTTTCATGCACAGTTATTTCATACAGGAACCCATTTGCACTTTAGAATATTAATATCACTGTGCATAGTTTATCTCACAAAGCACCCTCATTAAATTCCTCTCATTGTTTCCATGTCTGCAGGAATGTTTGCCTCCTCTGTCATTCACGGGGAAATAACGCCATTTCCACGGCTGCCAGGTTCTCCTGAGACCCGCGACTCGGAGATGGAAGTGCTGGTGGTGGCGACCTTTGTCGCGCCGCTTGAAGGCTTTTCAGACCTTTTCTTGGGAGGTGAAATATAAAGAAGGATCCAGCTGGGTACAGCACCAATGTCATTAGAGTTGCAGCACACTGCAGGAGTATCTGACTGCTAAAGCTGTGCACTTTGAGCTCCAGAGTCAGAAATAGTGTGGCTAATAAAACCAGCCAGGGAAAGAATACAATGTGTGTTTGTCTAGTAGAAAGGGACAGGAGGCTCAGAGAAGCTTTAGCTCGATAAAACGTAGAGCTTTCTAGTCCAGCTGTGCCGTTTAAAGTCTCTTTGTCTCCATGAATCTCACAGATTGCACTGAAGGGTCAAAACTGTCAACCAGTTTTCTCCTTTCAAGCAGTTAACAACTTCTCAATTCCATCTCTGCCCTCAAATTGTACACTGTTCCTTCTCAAGGACTAAATAATCAACATAATTATACTCAGTGTAACACTCATTTTGTGGTTGGATGGCTGTATAAGAAATGGAACAGATGTTCAGCTTTTGATGGGAGGCATAAAAGATCCCTCGTCTCAAGGAGCTCCACTTAAAACCCGGCTCCTCCCACACTCCCCTGTGTTCCCGCGCCTTTCCGATGGAAGCCGACTGGAAGGAATTTTAATTGGCAGACCAAAGAAAAATTTCTTGTTGTCAAAACACGGTTATTACCATTCGCTTTTCTCCACACTCCCACAACAGAAATTGCTAAAATGAATTAACGGCTGTCAGAGGATAACATTACTGCTGACAACTTAATGACGGGATAGGAAGCAGGGAGAGAAACCTTCCTCCTCACCGAGCGTTAGCTGCGTGTTGTAGACGATGACTCTGACGCCAGGCTTCAGCTCAAACTCCACCAGGTTTTGGTTCAGTGCGCTCACGATGACGCTGGACGCCTGTTGGGGAGCAAACAGAAGACATTTACATGCTGAAGCCTAAATCTGACTGTTTCCATTCATTTCTGAACGGCCAGGTGATGCCAACCTTCTCCAGCTCCTCCTCGCTCTTTTTCCTCCCCTCTGATTGGTTCTTGTTGGGTAACAGAAAGAGTTCTGCAGCCGTTGGGACGCCTGGAAAAACGGCGACCAAGAGCTGATCCTCTGGGAAGTCCGACACCTGGTGGATGTAGAAATATTTCATTACATAGCCTACACAAATAATGCAGCTCATGACAAAGAGGTGAAAAGGTCGGCAGATAAACGAACCCATAATAGACAACAACGAGTCAATCAGGCAAATTTCATGAAACGTGAAGGACGAGAGGCTCAGTGGAAAACCTGCTCTGGTTTCTGCCTGCTGACAAAGTTTCTAACTTTAATGAGAAGAACAATTTACTTACTGGTGGCTAACAACAGACATTGAAACAGTTAAACAGTTTAAATAAATTATGATACTCAATTTCTTCCCTTTTAGGAACACTGAAACATTTCAGTGTGACTGAAATGTTTCACAGCATTTCAAACAAGCTTATGTTTCATAAGAAGAATGTGAACATTTTCATCTTTCAGTCCAATAAACTAAATTTAACTGGGTGCTTTTACACAGAAACAGAAAACATCACATTCAAGTCTGATGACGTCGAATTCATTTCAGTCACATTCACTCTCAGTCCAACACAAGCATCCAATTTGACTCGCTATAAGAAGAATCAAACCGTCACATTCCCCAAATCAATCAGATTGTTTATCCCAAAATAAAGCAGCAAAAAGCAGAAGAGCTGTGATGACGAGTTCGACTCCAGAGACGAGAATATCCACCATGTTGTCCAGGGCAACAGGACAGGCAGAGATTTCAGTGACATTTTGGGAAAACTACTTTACAAATATTTCAATATTTGATCTGATTTAGATCTGGAAACAGAGACTATTAAAAGCAATGATAATAAAAACATACATTTCAACGTTTCTTTAAATTGTGTGGCAGCATTGAAGACAATCCTCTAATTAAGATGTTAAAGGATTATTTCTGAAGCTCTAAATATTAATACTGAGTTATTCTGGAGGCCAGATGAAGTTTGGCTCGGCCTCAGCTGCAGGATCTCAGCTGCAGGATCTCAGCTGCAGGATCTCAGCTGCAGGATCTCAGCTGCAGAATCTCAGCTGCAGGATCTCAGCTGCAGGATCTCAGCTGCAGGATCTCAGCAGGCCTCACTCTGCTGGTTCTAACAGAACCAACAGTCCACAGCTTTAAAACTGGACTTTCCCATCCGATCAGGGCACCATGCTGGAATTACCCGAGGTTCTGACACAGACCTGTTCTTTAAAGGCTGACTTCATGCCGAATGGCTGGATTTGTTGTTGGCCATTGGCAGCATAATGCTTCTCATTAATGGTACTGGTTGGTTTACCTCCTTAAAACGTGGTGAGACCAGAATATTCAGAGGAAAACCTCAGGGTATATGGATTGAAACTCTGATCATAACTTAAACATACTAATCAGCATCCAGACCCAAAATGTGATTTTGTTCATCATTCCTATGTCTACATATCACACAACCATTATGAGATGGTTTTAATGTTGTGCTGGTTTTGAACTGGTTGTTTTCTGGTGTTACAAACTCCACAAAGAGCTTTTCACATTTCCTCTCTCACTGCATGTTTTTTTCTAAATAAAAGCAAAGCTTAGCAAACTAAATCTTTCTACAGACCCTCCAGGAACCTTGAATGTTTTATTGTATTTCTAGAATGGACATGATGATGATTTAAATGACGTTCAGCAGAGAGAATCTGAGCTGCAATACATTCAAGTTGTTTTTCTTCTCAGAATGTTTGTCAACAGGATAAATATTGATTATGTTTCCAATAGAAACAGCCTATGACTCCATCCCACACATACGGGTTTATGGAACATTAAAGACAATTCTTGATAATAATTCACAGAGTTTTAATTAGTAACTAGACATAAACGTGACACTTTAGTTTGCACAGTTTTTTATATTTTTAAAGATATATTTTATATTTAATGTTTGAAAGAGAACTTTCAGGTTTGAATTACATGTTTTAGATTCCATTCATTCCTCTATTTAGACAAACATTATAGTTCTGGACTGAGGCGAAAGGTTGAGAATCAAGAGTAAATGTTTTCTGTACTGGTTTCCAGAGCAGCATTTCATGAAGCGCTTAGCATTTAACAAGTTTACAGAGTCAATGGGAGAGACAACCTGTGTGGCAATCATTCTTCATTTTACAGCCTGCCATGTTTTGATGTGGTTTCTGTGGCCGGGGCGACGATAGCGCCCATACAGTCAAAGTACATCAATTACCAGGCCCAGAAATCACTATTGGAGCACCAAAGTATTGGACAAATGATGGCCACAGGCACGTCTCGCAATGAGAAAAGGAGTAGTGAAGGGAGTGATAAAGTGAATCAATGACAAAAGAGGCAACGGCCCCTGAAAAAAAATCAATGCCCTTGAACCATGTTTACACTGGTGCAATCAGTCATTAGTTTAAACATATGGTGGGTTCATCTGGAGTGCTCCCTTTTTTGATGCGCCGCAAATTTAGTGCTGGACACAAAGATTGGAGGAGAAAAAGACGAGACGGGTTCCACACGGAGGACAAGGTCACTCACTGAAGTAAGAACACAACAGTCTCAAGGTTTGAAGCTTTATATAAGAAAACATTTATAAATCGGGATATTAAATAGAAGACATTTTTTTAAATGCGATACTAATAAATGATAAATCTGAAGACGTCAGTCCATTGTTCAAAGTCCCTTAGAGCTTCTAGATCATCTCCAATGTTCACTGTTCATCATCTCTGAAAGTCACCAGCATTTGCAAATAAGCAACAAACCCAAATGTCTTTGTTTCATTTGGGTTTGTTGCATGATGATCCTGCAGAATCATAAACATGGGCAACACAGAAATTCATGCCAGTATCATCCACCTCTGTCCTAGTCAAAGCTGCTGGCTGAACTTTAATCATGACAAACTCTCTTTCCTCTTTCATCCTTTAAGTTCACCAAACCGGCTTAGAGTTTTCCTGTTCAAATGTTTTTCTCTCCAAGATAAAGCTGCTAAAGCGTCGACTACTGCCATTAACTTTGTCATGTTCCTGAACACGGAACCAGAACTTTGGTTTCTCTGGTCCGTCGTCTCAAACACCCAGTCAGACATGCAGGACCTGGTTCTGGTTCTGCTGCAGGTTTCTTCTTGTTAAGAAACGGTCTTTTCTCTCTTTTCTCTGTACATGCACACAGTTTTAATAAAGCCAACATGTCTGCATTAGAAGTATTTTTTTATGCGTCTGATGTCCACTTTTTCTGGGAAACCAAATTCTGGAATTTCATTAATATAAAAAAAAATAGTTTACAATATATTGCTGTGTGTAAAAGTTTAATCTATGAGTTGAATTACTGAAATAAATGAACTTTTCAATGAAATTTAAATTTCTTGAAATGAACACATATATAAATGTGTTAGCCATTAGGATTAAATAGGATCAGTTTTTTAATAAACCTGCATCAGCTGGATGTTCCTCCAGGCCTGTGGGCCAGCAACAGTAAGAGGCTCCACTAGACTGATGGGCTGCATTAACCTTGGAGTGAAGATGTGGGGGAGTGCCAATATTGCAGACGGCATGAGGCTGAGCTGTGAGAAATGTTGATGGAAATTGTGAGGGAGGCAGCTGCAGACAGGGAGAGTGGAATGAAAATCTTTATGACTTCAAATGTGATCAGGACCAGCAGTGGTACTGAAAGGAGCCCAGGTGAAGAGCGCAAAATCTCTACTTTAAAGACCTCAGCAGGGACGTTTATCTGAACCACGTGTCCGTTTAATGGAAACTGCCTTTAATTTTTGGTTTTTTACATTGTTCTCCGTGTTTTGATGATGTTTACTGTGCCGTGGCGCCATCAGGCAAGGAGAGCTCAACCAGAACAGAACAGAGGAAAAATAAACCCTGCTGTCAACACTTGGACAATATGTTTGCCTGGAAATGAACTTGATGTCAGCTGCCGTCATATAAGCAGATGTGAGCAGATAGAGAGGAGCTGATATCAAACTGTGACAGGATATTGTCAGAGGATAAAAAACAAACAAAAGCGACGATTCAGCCAACAGCGTAATCTAATAAAACCCATTTTCACCTGCTGCTTCCTTCTAATATTTCACTGCAACATGGACTCTGAGGTTATTTGTACTGCATGCGCTACAAGTGAGAAAAAAATGAACATAAAACAGACAAAATATTCTTTGGTTTATTTTTACAGGTTTTATTTCAAAACTGGCATAAAACCAAAAATTGTGAGTTGCAGCACATTTATTAATAACCTCCAAATTCCTGCAGTCTGAAACACATTCACAGGAATCTTTTTTAACTCTTTGCCATTTGTAATTTCTTTTCATTCATGTTATTGGGACACAATAACTTGAGTCCTGGATCTTTCTCTGGGTCAGCAGAGAGGCGTCTCATCAACCTTTTGTCTAAGGAAAAGCCCAGACGCTCTGCAGAAGAAATTTATTTCAGCCGCTTGTACCTACAGGGTAGGAAAACAGTTCGACCAGTAAATCAAGATCTTTGCCTTTTGACTCAGCTCTGTCTTCTCTACGACAGACTGGTACTTTGGACCCTGCAGCAATTGACCAGATAATCTCCTGCTCAGTTTTTCCATCATTCATGAACAAACCCTGAGAAACTGAAACTCTTCCACTTGGTGGCAGGACGTCTTCCCCGACCCAGAGAAACAATCGTCTTGGATTCGGAGGAATCAGCCCTCATGCTATCTGCTTCCCATTTGGCTGCAAACTGATCAAATGAAAGTTGAAGACAACAGAACCCATCAGAGACCCGATCCTGAGGCTATTAAAATGGATCCTCTCAACGCCTTCGCTGCACTTCAATTCTGTCCATAAATCAGTGACAAAAAGCAACCGTAGTCACAGTCCATCCTGATGAGTCCGAACGCATCGCTTCACCAAAGGCTTCTCATCTCCACAGGGAAGTATGAGAATGGAGAGTAGGATTTCTCTACACCTGATTTTGGGCATTTTAATAGTCAGGACATTTTCAGGAGAGGAGCTGAAGAAAATTTAAAGTGGACTTTTTTACAAAAAACTTTTTGTTTTGTTTCATAAGCCCAAAAAAATATGTTACTGTATCTTACAGTTGCTCTAAAACTCTGCATGCAGTTTGTGAAATGACAAAAATAACCCAGTGGAGTAAATATAATGCTGTCTGTATCAAACACAACAAATTCTCATTCATGTTTCTGCAGCATAATGAGATACCTGCAACAAGACAAACACAAGAGCGACGCTTGTGCTCTGAACGTAGTCTGGTGTAGGTGGGAACTGCAATGTGCAGGAAGACGGAGACTTGACATGATAGAATGTGACAGAGCTCATTGTGCAGGGAAGGAATCTCTGCAAGACCTTCACTCCTGCATGCACAGTTTTCATTGTGTACTTATTTATGTTCCAATTCATTCTCAGTAAAAAAAATTAAAACATTTATTTTAAGTGGTAATCCAGAACTCTTTAAACTTACTCATTTAATTGTCAAATATCATTTCTATAACGCTAATGTAACATTTTTCAGGTCTGACATCAAAATTATTGTGCTTCTGTGACTATGAGGAGAAATGTTTTTAGGTTCGACTTCATGTCTGCATCAGGTCTCATTTAATCTGAATTTGATGTGAAACAAGTGTAACAGCTGAAAATCAGAATTCAGAAATGATGAAAGAAGCTTCTGTCACTGAAGTGGATCACATCCCAATCCCAATCTCAATCCCAATCCCACCACTCTTGGTTCCGACTGCACATCCAGACAGACGTCCAGACAATGCTCCACAAACGCCATCGCTATTGTTTTCTGTTTATTGGCTTCCCTCGTCCTGCAGTGATTTTGTGACAAAACTGTCGACTCTCATTGCTGAATATGAAATCGATTCACAGCGGCGTCCATATTGCTTCCATAAACAGAGCGCTGCTGTTTACGTCAGTGGTCATCTTCTGCACATGTGCAGCGCTTTGGCGTCATAAACAGAGACTGAATGACTGAATTTAAGCACTAGCATGAATGACCACACAAAACACAAAATAATCAGATTTGAGCAGCCAGACCTTCTGTTTGAACGTAGAAATGGTTGCTGCATGAATTACAAGCTGGATGCACAGAAACCAATTAAAGGAGCTGGATGAAAAGTTGAATGTGATTTTTGGGGGTATCAGGTTCGCATCTCCTGCTGTCATTATGAGCCTCCTCCCTCCAACTGCAGCTGTAAAGCTCAATCTGCTGCTAAGATGCCTTCAAGCACCACCATCAAATACATCCAGCTATTCATGAGCTGTGAATAGGGAGATGAGTGGCACTTAACAATGATAGGCCACCTACACACACACATACACACACACACACACACACTTGATGCTCTTCAACAATCGAGCTCACACACACACACAATATGTGTGTCAATGACAGGAATCGTTACTCTTAGCTCTCCACCAAAACCCCTTGTGCCCCAAGTTCTGGAATAATTTCATTGGAGAATTTTGAAATTAAGGAACTGGAGTCATCATGAAGCCATCAAGGGAGAGAAGGAAAGCAGAGGCGTCTTCACACCTGTCTGATGATGAATCGTAGGGTGGCCCGAGGGTGTTCACTCGTCGCTTCGCTGAGTGTTGGGCAGGAAAGGAGGTTTGGGAGATAATTGTGAAATAGGAAGCCGAGACAGAGGACGGATCGCAGAGGCAGAGACGGACTGAAGGGAAGTCAAGATGAAAATCACTCACTTGTAGCAGAGCCTTCTTAATTACTCTCCCCACATCCTGCCTCCACTCGGGTATGTCGGGGTTGAACTCGTCCAAGTTCGGGGAGAAAGATAAAAGCAGAGATTTGAAGAATTCTGTGGAGGAACGATGTGGGAGAATCAGCCATTAGTTCACAGCCATCTGAGGCCTTTATTCTCAGACAGCTGCGCCAAAATGCCATTCTGCTCAAGTTGAGTTTTCAGGTACTTAACACTTGATGAGAAAAAGAGCCCCCCCCACTGCTCCTCCCTTTGGAGCGAATGAACTTCCTGATAATTAGAAAATGTTCCAGTTTCAATCCAATCTGTCTGCTGCTAATAAATCGCTGCATTTCACAGACACTCCCTTCTATCCAAATGAAATTAAAACACAAACTCTGAAATTTCCAACTGTAAATGTGACAGATTTCATTAATGTGTGAGCTTTCGCTTTGGAAACAGTCATTGTTAAATTTACCTGCGCAGAACATCTAAAAACAGAAAAGCTCTTAGAGTTGTTCTTGGCTGGAGTTGCAGACAGAAACTGACCTTTGACCGCGATGCTCTTGGTGTCCTGCAGGATGGCGTTAGCTGCCGCCACCTGAACTGTGATGCTGTGCATTCCCTCACTCCTGAAGGTGTATGAGATACTTCCATCCAACGTTATCACCGGCTGCAAGGACAAAGACAAAACCTCTGAATAAACCTGCAGCCTCTCAACATCTTCCATTATGTCACATTACAAACACAAATGTTCTCATTTTGTTGTTCTTTGATTTTTGTGCAGCTCTTCAGGCAGCGGCTATGTTGCTTTAAGAGTGATAGAAATAAAGCAGTGGTGCAACAGACGTTTTGTGGGAGTGTAAAATTGTGAAAATGATTACAAAATGATTAGAAATGGAACTGTGTTTTCCAGGCACAAAGTGCCACTTTATGGCACAATCCAGGAACTATGTTGCCTTTATTTGCCATAGAAATGCTCAAAGTTTAACAAACTGTGCAGAAGGGTGACTCCATCCTCTCTCCGGGTTCAGATGTTGGATTGATCAGAGCTTTGGAAAATGTTCATCACTTTAGAACCAAGCCTGCTTTAAGCTTCACATAATAAACAACTTTATTTAGGGGTAGCAGAGGCTGAATACAAATGGACAGCAGGCTTTTATTTGAAAACCAAATTTAACATGAAAAAATGAGAATGTTTTAAAAAGAAGCATAACTTCAGTCTTAAAGAACATCTTGAAAACAGCTGTTTCAACATACTTGTATTAAAATTGCACACATTAAAATGTTTGTTTTGTCATCATCATTTTCGAGGATTAATTTTTTGATGCAGCCTCCGCCGGTGTCTGAGTGTCGCCATGGAGAAGTTACCTCTGTGTTGTTGCCAAGCCACCAGAAGTAGGTGACAGTGCGTGATTGGCTGGGCAGGACCACCGCTGTGATGTTCACCTCCTTGTTTCTGATCACCACGAAGGGAGCAAGGAGCTGGACGTGCTCCACCGGACCTGGCGCAGGAAACAGACAGACAGCGGTGAGAGCAACTTCCCCATTCAGACTCAGAGCGTCTGAGTGGAGATCACAGCCCCCAAACACGCCGCGCCGTGGAGGTTATTGCAGGAGACTCAACACCTCAAATCCTCCGCGCTTTGATTTGACAGGTAGCCGTTTCTGCTTTTATTTCTCAGCCCAAAGTTCTGCACCTGAGGTGAAACCATAAATAATCCAGAGGTGTGAAAGCGGCTGTGAGTCTGCACGTGTTGGAGGAAGCCGTCAGATTGTCCGGGTTGTTTTTACCTTGTCTTGTCAGAGGCATTGTGGGATATGATCTGCCCTGTGCCGCCATTCTGAGAGCAGTATAAATAAGTCAGGAAAATGGATGGAAGCAAACATTTTGAGAGCAATTATATCAACCTTACGTCATGCGCAGATGGACTCAGGGTGCTTTTACACAAAGTGATGGATGGACTGTCTAACCTTTTAGATTATTTACTGGATGCAGACGTCTCTGGGATGTTTTACATGATTTCATGATTAGACAGAAACCTATTTTATGTCAACTGACTTCTCAGGGTTCCTAGAAACTCTGCTTGTTACATCAAACAGTAACGAAGAATTTACCTGATCGAATGGATCCGGATCAATGCTGCACAGTTTATTTGTAGCGTGGCCTGGATTCACAGGCTGAACCCAGCAGTTATTTGATCTTTTCATTAAAGGAGCTAATATTTGTCAAAAGGTTGTTTTATACATTTTCCAGATACATAGTTCTCTTATAGCATAATCAGCGTTGTCACCTTCAGTTCTAATAAAAATGCTGCGTCTTTCAAACATGAATTAAAACAAAGACACTCTGCCTTCAGGGTCATCATAACATGCTCCTCCGTCATCCCATTTGCAATCGTTCCTATGATGAGCTCAGCAGACAGAGTTCCACCAAGTTTGCTAACTGCTGCTGCTGCTAGTCTAGAGGAGATGAAAGGGGGAGGGGCGCAGTGCTGGGGATGCGTCTTTGTTCAACTGGAGCAGTAGTGCCCAAAGTGGGTCCTGGAGGACCTGCTGCAGGGCCAGGACCTCCATGTTTTCGTCTGTCTCTGTTTTAACGCACCTGGATCAAATGGTGGCTCATTAGAGGCCTAAGAAGAACATCAACATGCTGAGGATGTTGTTTCTACCAGCAGGGTCAGGATCCATCCCTCCATGACTTGCTTTGGACATCCCTGAACCAGATGTTGTTAAATCAACTTGATGTTCATCGATTTCAAAAAGTTGAAAGTAAAAGTATTTTCTTGTTGATTTTGTTTGTATTTTCAAGGCAGCAGGAGAGCGATCATTTCACCTGCTACAAACCACTTTGAAATGTTTTACTGGTTATCTCTGCAGATCCCACACATCTTGGACACAAACTGTTTAGAGATGGTTTTGTCCTGTTTTTGTGACAGCACTGCTGCTTATTTTCATAAAATAGTGTGAATCTGTTGAAGCGATCCACCCCGGTGTCTCAAATTAAACCTGTCGAACAACACGGCTCCTGCTTGTCAAAACTCTGCAGGCATAACATGGTGACAGCAGAAACTCCCCACTAATTCACAGGCAACGTTGATTCTGTTGGCGCCAAAATAAAATAATCATCAGGTATTTTTGACATGATATCTTTGGGGTGACGCCACGAACCTCCCTGCTAGCAGAACCGGAGGGAGCCGCCAGAACTCACAGCTGCTTTCCACTAATCTCCGGATGAACTTTCCTGCTGTGGACAGATGCAACACGCTGCCTGCACGGTCGGCCGCTAACCGCATCGGTTTGTGTGTCGCTGTGGCCTGGCTGCTCGCCTGGCTCACACTCATCCTCTTTAGCCAGAACTAATCTTTATCCCCACTATGAGATGCTTGGTGTGTCTTCACGCTCGGGTTTGCTCTTCCGTTTAAATGGGAGAAGATGAAAAAGTCATTTGGCATTCAATATGTCGAGATGAGAAACGGCTGCAGGTTTTGGCATTTCTCCCTGAAGGTATCACAGCCGCTTGTGAGACCAAAACCTAGCTGAATTTACAGCTGTCAGAAATGTATTAATACAGAGCGCAGTGACCCACGAGGACAGCAGAGGTTAAACCAGACTGGATTGAACGAATCAGGGAAACAATAACATGACAAAGAGACAATTTAACACTTACTGAAAGCAGCTTGTATAATTCCCTCTGAGTGCTAAAATGATCCTTTTTTCCATTGAGTCTGAGTGGAGCTGCGAAGCATGACAATTGTGTAATTTGTTTTGTTTGCTGCTGTGTGAAAACCTGCTTCTGCTTTAAATTAGCTATTGTTCTAGATCTGGATCCTGATAAAAGTCATTACCTGTGCTGGCCTTGAAGGCCTCCCTCTCAGATTGCTTCCCGCCTCACGAAAACATCTTATAAGCAAGTTTGTTATGACCTTTTTTGTTAATAGCTGCTGATTCATCCTCCATAACCGCCTGTATCATTCTGTAACTTTATTCTTCAATAAATTCAGCTTGGATCAACAGTGTTATTGATCTGCAGTTACTTTAGCAAACAGAAGACTCATGAAATATAATGAGGAAAAGACGATGATGAAGCTGCAGGTCAAATGTGTGGAGAATCTGTGAGTTATTCATTTGTGATTTCATATAAAAGACCAAAAAATAAGTGCAAAATTAGGATGACAAAAATCTGGAAAGTATGCATGCATTTAAATAAAGGTGAGAACGTAAATCATATTGTCTTTTATTTTTCCTGTTAAGTTGCTCGAGAACAAAATTCTAATTTTCAACAATGAAAAATATGCAAAAAGACTCTTAAAGAGGTTAGTGTTGAGTGTACAGTGAGACTTATGTTAGAAAATATATATAGCTGATGTTGCATTGATGTTGGATTGATGGAGGGTTGATGGAGGGTTGATGGAGGGTTGATGGAGGGTTGATGGAGGGTTGATGGAGGGTTGATGTTGGATTGATGGAGGGTTGATGGAGGGTTGATGGAGGGTTGATGGAGGGTTGATGTTGGATTGATGGAGGGTTGATGGAGGGTTGATGGAGGGTTGATGGAGGGTTGATGTTGGATTGATGGAGGGTTGATGTTGGATTGATGGAGGGTTGATGTTGGATTGATGGAGGGTTGATGGAGGGTTGATGGAGGGTTGATGGAGGGTTGATGGAGGGTTGATGTTGGATTGATGGAGGGTTGATGGAGGGTTGATGGAGGGTTGATGGAGGGTTGATGGTGAGCTTCCCCAGGGCCTCCACCACTTGGTTCTCGTTTCTGGGGGAAACTAAAATAATGCATGATGCTTTGTGTAGAGGAAGACTGGCTCTGCACATCATACTGAGCCCACAATTTCTATACTGTAATGGTGGTAAGGTGTTGCATTCAAGCAGGCCTAAATGCATATGCACACCGCACTTTTCAGATTTAGTTTCCCTTCCTTCTCTTGAAGCGTGTCGTTGTAAAGTACGCTCGGTATTCTGTGAACACTCACATGTGACATGCAGGTACAACGTAGTGCTGTCGGAGCCCAGCGTGTTCTCTGCCAGCGCCGTGACCCGGAATATTCCCGCTGACTTGTAGACGTGTTTGATGCCCTCCTCCGTCCAGCTCAGGTTGGAGTAGGAGACCGCTGTGCCATCGCCAAAGTCCAGCTGGATGTTTGTCCTCAAAGAGTCTCCCTGAGACACAGCAGAGCAAAGATGGTTTTCCTCTGAAAGAACTGTTCTGAAACATGAAGTTTAAGACAGATTTAAAGGTATCGCTGAGTGCATGACTTCATTTGAGCTGCTTGGACTCAAAAATCCACATAAAACATAACAAAAGTGATGCTGCTTTAATCTGATGGGAAGACCTGAGCTCAAAATGCGGCACCTATCTGGTACAACACATCATAAAGACACAATGGGTCAACACCAGATTACAATAACATCAAATATGTTTGAAAGGGTTTAAGAAATATAGCCTCTAAAAGCGTCGTATTGTCTCTGTCTCTTAGCTGATTGCCTTTTAAAATTTCACCATAAATCATCCACAATGCATTATGTTTTGGCCAACATTAGAAAAGTCAAACAGCCACAGAGAAAGTGAAAAAAAAAATCAGTTTTGTCATCTTCAGGGAGTTTCTGCACAGAAACAAATTTGATCTTTCAACCATTACAAGAAATACCAACAAACAGAAGCATAACATCTAACGAAGGAGAAACAAAACTGAACTGAACTCTAACTGAGCATTTCTGCATCAACAGGAACAGGAAGTGATTTCAGGCTACGGCGTTTTGGTTTGAAGCAGCTTTAGATCCAAGAGATGATGAAACGGAGGAAGACATGTCAGAGCTACAGCTTCATTAGGAACGCTGATGTCAAATTAAAACGGGAGAATCTTTCTGTTAGACTGAAGATTATTTACAACAAAACACTTTTTACATTAATGTTACAACATGTAAAATCGTCCATAAACACACAGCTGATTGGTCGTCGAGGATATTTGTGTTCTTAATGTTTTTGTTGTCCTCTAATCGGCTTCAGGCCAAAATGTATTTTACAAAAAGTTAAGTACTGAGTAACTGATCATGCTGGCCACCGACGCAACAAGCCTTTGTTACTCAAAGAATACATAAAAGATCAAAACCTGCACATTTTTCTGCAATATTTAAATTAATATTACGGCTCTATGTCTTCATATTATCACCTGTTCATATCGTCAAACCACTGATGTGTTAAATGATACATTTTGTTTCTTGTGCAGCTGATTTGTAGATAAGTTGTGTTGTGTGTGAAAGAAAGGATTATTTTATTTTCCCAAGCTGTTTTTGGTGTTTGCCTCCTGCTGCAGGATGAACCCCAGCAGCCAGTTGACCTCTCAGACTGTCAGAGCTCCACCTTAACGCTGTTGGGACTCTTCATTTGTATCGATTAGAAGAGCAGATCCACCGGAGAACACAAAAACAAACCTCTGGAACCTGATACTTTATTAAGTGGATGAACAGAACAGGAAGCGGCTCAGCTTCCTGGGTTTGACACTGTATTGTTGGGAACCATAAAAAGCTGGCACCCAAACAAGACCCTGGCTTGGTGGCACTGATGCCAGTCAGCTCTGTTCAGCATCTGTGGCGCATCCTGTGTTTAGCGCCTATATGAGCCATCCTGGGATTCACTCATCTGCATCAAAGTGACGCTGACCCGGCTCCCTGAAATGTCACTCTTTGTTTCCACGAGTCTCCAAGGGCTGCGTGGATCCAAACACATGGCGGCGCGCAGCCTTGAGGCTGGAACATGGCCGCTGGTTCCCAGTGACAGCAGCGCAGTGGGCGCTGACAGGATTTGGAAACACGAGGCCAGCATTTGTTAAGGTGTTAGACCTGCACCTACGGTGTCAATGTGATGTGTGACAACAAAAGAACAAATGTTCTGCTTATATCTGCTGCAGGCAGACCTCATAACACGAATCTCTGCAGCAAAGGTCACTGCAAAAATAAGCCAGCGGTTAGCCAAGACACAGAAAAATGGATGCAGCTGGGTTTTTTAAGAATATTCTAATTTTCCATCATTAAATGCTGGATAGGTTCATGTGTTTCATACACACAGCTGGGTGAGGCTCAGATCAGGAGGGGGAAACGCTCCGTCATTTTCAAACAGGATGTTAAAGAAAACTTTACTGGGTAGAAACCAACAAACATTTCTCAGCTCATCTCAAACGATCTACAAGGAATTTGATTTCAGCATCAAATGCTCAGGAAATAGACAAAGTACAAATGAATCTGTTTTTGAAATAAAATATTAATTTAACAGACTTTGTTTTATGAAAATATGAAAAATAAGGTATTTTGTGGTTGTGCACAGATGCTTATTTTTTTTCATAAAGTAAATGAGCTTTTGCTGTGACTCAGTCTGAACGGTGCTAGCGATCAGCTCCAGCAGCACCTGGTTCCGGTCGGGCCTTGCAGCCTGAATGTGATGTAAACAGCCTGAAAGCCCAAATGCTTTCAGGCTGTTTACATCTTTAGACTCACTGGTTCAACTGACGGTCCATTAACACGAATAAAAATTAAACAAGTCCAAGTACCTCTAATAAAAAAATAAATATCCTTCTGGTAAAATAAGTCGGGGTGAGTCATCCAAAGCTGAGATTTCACAGATCCTGAAAATGAACTCAGTGGTTAATATTTTAGCTGGAACCTTCAGTCGCCTGGTGAGGCTGTCATGTTCAATCACAGAGTTCGTCTGTGGAAAAAAATCCTCCTGGTTTCCCACTGAGGCAAAATCTCACTTCACTAAATGACATCATGTGCAAAACAACTGCAGAACATTTTCTCCCAAATGTGGCTATGCTAAAAAATAAATCAACGCCAGGATGAGGCGACAGAAACACGAAGCAGAGAGTGAAGTCAAGGCAGCAGCAACATCATTTCAGTTTGGTGATGTTATCAGACGTTTGACAAAAGGTTCCACCACACTTTTTCGATCTGAGGCCATGACTTTGACTAGGCCGTTGCAGACATGCACCGTACATGGAGATCATTTGATCTAACAGAAACGTTGTTGGACTCTTAGAGAAAGCCACATTCAAGCTGCATGCTAAAAGAACCCAGGCCAGGATTTGAAATCCAGTACGTTTTTCTTCTTGGTTTCTTCTGGTAGCAAAACAACATGGCTACCAGCTGCACCAACTGTACATTTAGGAGAAAAAGATACTAGCTGACTTAAAAAATGCAGTTATTAGAGAAAATACAGTCTCTGAAACAGAGAAACCACAAATCATGCCGTCAGTGTCTGCACTCCAACTCAAGCAGAAAGCTGGCAAAGCTTCGCATGTTTCCGATTTGCCAACAGACATGATGCCAAATCTGATTCATTGCAGCTTTGAACCAAAAGAAATGTTTATCCAGTCGAAGCTAAATGAGTGTCACAATCTCATATAATCTCTCCTACCTGCTGTTTTAAAGATGAATCGCTCAGAGCAACTTAAGTTGCTGTATGTTCAGCAATCAAGATCTGGTTTGCAAACATTCAACACAAGCTGCGTTTTAAAGAGACTGGCTTACAGTTTGTTTCACGACACTGTGCAGAATTTCAACTAATGAAGGGATAATGTCCAGTTTGATCTGGTCATTCTGTCCAGTTACATTGTTCCTGATTCACCCTGAAGAGGATCATGACGATTTCTACCAAGGTATGAACAGAAAGATGTGAATGCAGATTTTTTTCCAACAACTTTAAGGACGGCCAGTTATCTGGATGCTCTTCAGATGATCGTAAGAAAATTTCCTGCTGTGTGTGAAGTGTGACCCGGTTCACTCTGATCTGACATCAGGGACATCCAACATGTCAGATCGTCTCGTCTTTAATGTGGTCTCTCTGGTTTTGAAGACTGTCTGATATAAAAGTCTTGCTGTTTGATCCAGATGTTGGTCAGACATGAAGCAAGTACTGGACGTGGTCTGGGTCTGTGGTTGAGATGTCATATTTGTTATTATTTGTCATATTTGTTATTATCTGTCATATATTTGTTATATTTGTCATATTTATTATCTGGTTCAATACAGGAAACTGGACGACATTCCAGCTGGTTGGATTTGGTCAGATGGCATCAGATGATCTCAGTAGAAATAAAGCATCTTGACCGAACTGAGACCTTGAATTTCTTTCCTTAACTATTACAATTTTGTTATTTATAATCATCCAAAATTAAATGCCCCTATTTATCTTTTATTCAAATACAAAATGAATGATTTAGATGAAAAAAGAACAGAAGTGTTTTCCAAAGTCCCATTTAACTGCTTGGTTATGAAGTTTTTCTCCAAAAGGTTCATAGAGGAATTAATTGTGCTCTAAGATGAGCCATAAACATTTAAACGGAGGGAGAAACGGAGGGAGAAACGGAGCGAGTGTCTCCGTCCTCCTGTGTTGGATGCAGAATGAGTTTGTTTGAGCTTTGGTCGATGGAGAATCAGGCATGAGCTCATCTCATTTCTGCCAAGTGGATTCAGATGGAATCCATCTGTGCATGTAAATATTGTGTTGCATAAAAGGGTTCGGAACAAAACAGAAAGCAGAAGACGTGCAGATCTTATTAAATCCCCAAATATGTTTCAGTTTTTTTCCTAATTCTATTTTTAAGTGAACTGAAGAGTCTTCTTTTCATGAAATATTTAGAACCATTTTCTTTCCCTAAGAAATACAGCCATCTCCAGGTTCATGAATATAAATTAAAACTTTGAATTCATCAAGAGAATTTTCTCAAATAAGTCTGAAGCCACAAAGATCCATCTGCCCGTCCTCCCCAGTTCACCTCCCAGAGGTCTCTATTACAGAAAGACAACCAGCATCAGTTCTGAACTCGTCCTGCTGATACAGAACCAGAACCTGAACACGCTCCCAGGAGAACGGTGGCAGAAAACACTCCCAAATCCTGCAGCTCAGACCAGCTGAGTGAGTGAGAGGCGTGGAAACGGTTTCCTGGTGACCGGGCAGCCTGACTGAGCGCAGCGTCTCTCACTTGCTAACAGGGTCTCTGGTGGGGTCTGTTATTTCTGCTCGTGGCTCAGAGCTGCTGCTTGGTGTGGGCGATGTGCAGGGAACGGACCGAGCTCATGGCAGAGAGCAGCAACTCTCCGAGAAACCAGCAGACATTACTGCAGCTCCAGTCTGTGCGCCTCCGGGTTCTGCCAGCAGAACGATGCATGCATGACTCCGTCACACACCTCTGCCTCAGACTCGGCTCCGTCTGCTGCAAGGTTCCACCAAAATTAAATACAAAGTTCCAAAACAATTGCGAAATGCAGTTTTCAAATAATGATCTGAGGTTCTGGGGGGAAACTTATCCAAAGTTCTATGTGAAAAAGACAAAATGTAGAATATTTTATCCATAATGACAGACATAAACAAAATGAGGACGGTATAAAAATAAAGATAAATGAAATTAGGGCCCTTCATCAGTTAACTTTGATTTAACCAACTCATCCAGCAAAACAACTCAGAACATCCAAAGCCTTTAGATGTCTGCATTAAGGTCAAAACGTTGAGCTTACATTGTTTTTATTTCAAACTGTTAGCCGTTCCGGGTATTGTCCTTCCACTAAACCTTAACATAATTTTACAGACGTTGTTGTCACTACCTGGTAGCAGATGGAAAATAAATCTGATTTGGGTTTTCTATACTTTCTGCCGACATCATTAAATAAAATTTTAAAAAAAATTGTTAAATAAATTGATTGATTGGCGACGAAGAAATGATTAATTATAATAACATTTACAAATTAGAGGAAAAATGTGCAATAAAGTTTAAGTCATGTCATCTTTAGCACGCTGTTCCTTAAGGAGAGAAGATAAACGATCTGCACTTCAGGATCTGTTGTTTCTTGACCTCTGGTGGCCGAACTGCTGCTTTTAGAAACAATAAATCCTTCCTATAAATCTCCAGGTAGGAGCAGGTCCGGTGACGGCTTCCTGCTGGGGACGGCTTCCTGCTGTTGGACCTCTCACCTCGTCCAGGTGCACCACGAAGGTCACGTTGCTGCCCATGTTGGCGGTGACTTTCCCGTCGCTGGTGGCCAGGCTGAGTCCTTTTGGGGGCCTGTTGGGGCACTGCTGCTTCCTGGCCGTGTACATCTCCTTCACGCCCTTGGTGCAGTTGTTCAGCACCACTTTACGGTACCTTAGGAAGAAAACACGGAGAAACTCTTCATTTCATACCGCGGTGATCAGCTTTCATCTTTTTGTGTGTTCTGTAGTTTTAAACTAATTTCCTGCTGCTTGAGCCGGTGGTGTACAGAAAAAGGTTGAAGTCAGCACAGTGTGGCTGTTTTGTGTTAACAGCGTTCGGGACGAGATGACGACTGACAAGACAAGCTGTGTGAGAGGCTGTGACACGGCAGGAAGTTTAATCAGTGCGGCAGAGAATAAAACACTGCTGCTGTGATTAAGCTTGGGAAGGTGTCCGTTCCCTGAGGAGTCTCCGAAACACGCAGGACTCACTTCTCAGGAACAACAGAGACACGGCGCATTGCAATGAGAGGGAAATGATCACAGCTGCTGGGTCCAGGCTGAACCAGACCCACAGCGCCGCCCTGCTGGAAGCACTGCTACCAGGTGTTCAAACTTTATCACCAACTGAAACATTATATCAAATTATTTACACGCATGGACGCTTTAAAGTTAATAAAATAATACTTTAATGGTCCCAAAGAAAAATGAAATGTTTCATCTAAAAGATGTGGAAATATCAAATCTGTTTTTCAATCATTATTACAAGATATCAGTTATCAAACGTACAGCTCTAAAAGCTTTTCGTTTGTGAAAAGATCATTACCAAATGAGCAAATCCATGTTTAATTTATTTATTATTGTTTTTAACACATTTTTAATTCTCTGTTAATTGTTTGTTGACGGTTTTCCCAAAATAGTTGTTTCTTATCTGTTGGATCATCATTTTCCCAGCAGCTTCTTCAACTTACATCCCTGCTCTATTAATCATCTGCTGTCCTTCAATGCAAACAGAAAGCTAAAAAAGCAGCATCTCCATGTTTTCAGGTTTCTGTGATTCATCCTTGTGGTGCCAGTTTCTCCGTTATTAGTGTGTCCATGTGGAGTTGTAATGTTTACAGCAGTCAAAAGGTAGAGATGATGTCTTCACTAATTTCCCTTTTAGAGGAAACTGTGATTGGCAGCTGATTGGTTCACTGGAGGAATGGGATTTACAGTTGATTGACAAGATGAGGAAAACAAAGTCATCTGAAGATGTACCATCAACGCCTCAGAGAGAGGAAACAAAACCAGAGAATGTGTTTGGTTTGTCCTCCGTAACAATCCTACGATTCTAAAGAACCGTTTGCAGGAGTGTGAGTGAGTTGGAGACAGACTGTGAGCTTCCACTTCCTGCCACAGAAAGCCTAGAAAAGACCTCGGTTTGTGGACTCAGTATGTGCAGACAGGTGCCATGAATCAGTTCTTACCCGGTACTGTTGAAGTAGTTCTGACCCTGGCTGCAGCTTCTGGACACAGAGGACGGATTGAACCAGAAGGCCGGCCGGCAGTTCCCGTCGTTCCGCCGCTCGTACCCATAATCGCTGTCAGACGAGAGAAAACATCCACTGATCAGCACCGGAGGGTGTGAACGAGCGTTTCTGTTCCTCTGGCCTGCCTGTCATCATCTGCATCATTATTACATATTGATTAAAGCTTCTCCTGCTGAAAAACATGCCAGGACGCCCAACCTGCCGGAGAGGAGAGGTTACTGTAAATAATGACATTTTTAACCTCCCAGATTCCATTCAGCCTGTGATTTACATGCAGCCCAGCAAGGTGGGCGAGTGTCTGTTCTCATCAAGGTCCTGAAGCTGATTTATCAGGTAATTACTGAGCCAAAGCAAACAGAACCAACAGCACAGGAGCTGACCACTGCAGTGTGAACTGGTCATTAACAATCTGTCGGGAGATGCAGCACCTTTTACATAAAGGGACTGTTCAGGTTTTATGTGGCGTTGTGTAGAGTAGGCATGAGCTGTCAGTAGCCTATTTGACTTGCTCTAGATTTCCATGCATCTAGAGAAAGTCGGGGTGAAAGTGTCCTGCTTGTGATGTTGTTCTTTATTCTATTCGATTTGAACGACAAGAGAACTTGAAAAAAATAAAAACTTTCAAACTTTAAAAACAAAATGTAGAATCTGAGCAAATTTAGTTAAAGAAGCGTCAACCAATTCTCCAGAGTTTGGTATTTTCCATGTTTGGCTAAAAGTCCTGCAGAAAGCATTTCCAATGGAGAAGGTAAATAAACTTCAACCTAAATTTAAAGCATTTGCTCAGTCAACAACAGATTTGTTGACCTGAGACAAACTGCCTGCTGCACCACCAGCTTTATATCATTTGTTACATTTCTACTGCTGATTTCTGATGTCAATGTTTTCTAAAAATGTTGATAAGCATACAGAACCAAATTAAATTACTCAAATTAAACATCTGAATTACTTTTAATGTTCATACCTAATTTCATTTTTAGCATGAAAGTTTTGAAGTTTGTTTTTCTTCCAGGTTGAGCTTTTCTCTGCTGGGAGTTGGGAGCAAAATAAGTTAAACCAGAAATTTGTACACTTATTTCAAATTAGGTTAATAGGATGAAAACAGCTGAAGATATAAAAGCCTGATTCTGTGAGTTTAATGGATGAGAGACATTAGTTGGATGTTTTAAGCAAACTCCTCTGTGAGACATAAGTACCAGGAAACTAGACTTGGAAACAGAAAGCAACTTTAAAAGTGTTAAATATGAACCAATTAGCACTCGCTTGGTGCTCCTCCATAAACACGAGTTAGATAACTGCTGAATGTTTGGACCGTTTTTTTTTTCTGTTCCCTGTCATTACAAGATAAAAAATTCACCCGGTTTGGATTTGCATACAAATTGAAACTATTGTCACGCCCACATGGTCAGAGCAGAATCCTGAGCACAACAGGCTGCTAACAGATGCTCCAAAGACAGACTGGACGAGCGCTCAGAGGAGAACCGCAGCATGGAAACAGGAAGTCTGAACACAAGCAAGACTGGAAGGGAACAAAAAGGAACAAGAAAATATCAAAAACAGTGCAGCTTTAGAGCTCAGTTCTATTTGATGGGTGACTGTTGACACCTTGTTTCATCACTTCACAGTAACTATCCCCCTGAAATTCTCAAAATCTCTCAGATTGTTGGACTCGTGTCTCAGTCCACTCAGCCGGCACTGGGGCTCGGCGAACGTTTTTCATGTGAACTAATTCCAGGATGTGAACTGCAACTTCAGAAAACACAAAAAAACGGAGCCAAAGACAAACATCCTGCAGTAATATTAATATTGCTGCAGTAATATTGCTAGAAAGAAGAGTCACATGAAGATGTTCAGCTAAAACTGAGTCACAAGAATTAGTTTTTTAGCAAATTATTAGAAAAACTGGTATTCTGGGGTTGATTTGAACAGCAGAGCAGAGGTGCAACATATTAAATGCGAGGAACATTCAGAAACAGATTTTTAGGAGGAAAAATGGACAAAACCCAGAGGATCATGGGAGCCGCAAAAGGCCATTAAAAAGTAAAATCCATGTATACTTCTGAGTATATAATCACATAGTCTTCCTGCTATGATTAGGTTACAGGATGTGAATTGGAAGATGTCAGGAAACTCCTACTACAGGTCAGTTGGATATTATTTGCGATGAATCAGATTCTCTATAAGTGACAAGCAGCAAAAACACCAGAAAAAAATATTTATTTATGTGTGAACAGTTTGCCAGCTGAATAATATTTGAAATAAGCTACACTGAAGAGTGAAATCATTTCTTTATTATAAAGTAATCAAAAGTTTCAACAGATGTCAAATAAAAGCCTAAACTAAAGAGTAAAAACCGCCGGTGTTCGATCTGCTTCATGTTGCTTCCTCCCCTGGTTTCATCTTCCAGTTTCCGTTTTTAGCCTGGCTGTAAGCGTCTCCGGCCGTCATTCTGCTGTCACTGTATTTTCCACTAGAGCAAACATCAATTACGGTAACTTTCTGCTAACAGAACCTGTATCCGCTTGCTGGGTTCACTCATAAGGTAGGCATTAAAAAATCATTAGGAGACGAGTGCGTACAGAAGAACACAGAAAGTCCGACTGCAGGTCAAATCAACCATTTTTTCCAATCTGTGCAATTTATTTGCCTGTTTACTGCTGCTGCTTGTTAGTCTGCAGGACTCACAGATCAGCCCTAAAGAGCATATCTGAGTGGACTGAAGAGGGAATTTAATGGCTGTTGCACAGATGTACTTGAAAAATAATAAATTGGTACAGAAGGGCAGCTGCTTTTTAATAGGACAGAATTTTTTTTTCATGTTTTCACTGAGCACAGTATCCCATCGAATGACCTGCTGAGCTTCAATCACATCTGACAGCACCCACTGAGAATAATTCAAGCATTAGCAGAGGAAAATTTCTGAAAGGATTAATAAGAAAAAGAAAAATGCCTGTTTGAACCTTCTACATGTGTGGCAGCATTGGAGAACAAATACCCCGGTTAATGAAGCTCTCTTCAGCAGACAATGGAGAGCAACATAATCCTCCTCCACGATTATGAGGAAAGGAGCCACTGAACAAAGGCGTGCGTCTCCTTACCATTCAAAATCATGAGCTCGGCAAATACAGGATTCAGCTGAGAGGATTCTGGAGTAGTCCCTTCCCAGCATGCAGTAGTTTCCAGGCCTGCGTTTCATGTAAATCTGCTTCTGACCCATTACACACGGCTCGCCCTGTGTTGGCACAACAGAGCTGTCAGTGAAATGTTTCGCATCCAGGACTGCAGGCTGGTCAGCATGACTTTCACCTTGTTGTGCAGGTGCCAGGTTTGGTAGTCTTCCTCGGTGCACTTCCTGCTGAAGATGGATTTGTAGTCTATCTTGATGAGCTGCCACTCAGAGCGGTGGCTGAAATGTCCAAAGAAGCTGCAAAAGAAAGAAGGCTTCCTAAAATGAATGGATTTCAATGTTAAAGCTGAGCAGCAACAAAAATCTGCATTTTTCAATGCGATCCTTGAATTTAAACAGGATAGAGAAGCAGACTGCAGCCAGTTCCTTCATGGTTTCTGGAGTTACAGAAAACTTTGGTGGAACGTGTGCTGAGCATACGAGGCATTTCCTGGAACTGCTACGTTCCAGTACATACAGTGAACTCAGAGCCGCTGCTCATCATCATCCTGATGATGAGCTTGCAGCTCATCATCAGGAACTTACAGCGTTTCTTCAGCTACAGTTTCCTCCTGAGACTCCGCTGTTCTTCACTAAGAGCAGTGACAGAATCCTGGTCAAAATTCCCCAAACAAACGATTTAAAGAAAACAAAAATATCTAAAAAATAAAAGATCTCAATTCAGCTGATCAGGGTTCGATTCCTGACCTTGTGACCTTTGCTGCATGTCTTCCTCTTTTCTCTCTCTGTCTATTTCCTGTCTAACTACTGTAGATAAAGACCACTACTTCCAGAAAATTGTTTTTAAAATACATTTGGATGATGCGAGTGTTGTTGGACTCACGTCATGATCTGGTTCTCCGCGCCGGCCTCCACCAACACGCCGTCCACAAACAGCAGCGCCGAGGAGAAGCTGTGCTGGGTCCACTGCCTCCCTTCATCAAAGCTGATCCTGTGTCAGAGCGCATTGCCGTCACAAACCCGGCATCAGCGGCGGCGCAGAAAACAGACGCTCCCTATTTAATTCTGGTCATAGGGGAGGGTTTAGGTGAGGATCAGAATGACTGGCTTGTCTCAACAGAGTCGTCTCGGAGCCTCTGTGCAATTAGCTACTGTAGCTCTGAGTAAATATCAAACTGCTGAACATTAAAGGGATTTTTTGGAGAACGTCAGTCCAAGTATGAAAGCAGAGAAGCAGAAATCGTCTTCAGAAGACATGAAAAGAGAGAAAGTTTGCAGTGTCAAAAAGGAAAATAAAACCATGTCTTGTCCGGGTAAAAAGTTGACACCGAGGTGAGAAAACAAAACCGGAATAGAAGTGTTTCATGTCTGAGCACAAGAGTGCATACGGAGAATGAGACAGCGAAAAAATTGGACAACTTTCATCATCGGCTCCTGGGCTTTATTGATCCTGACAGCTTATCAACATCGGTGCCGAGGTGAGAACAACTGGAAGTACCTGAGCGTGACATGGAGTGAAAAAAAAAAAAACAGAAAAGCCTCCATGTTGCCTCAGAAAGCCTCCTGCTGTCACTTGGCTAAAAGCAGTGGCAACAGCACAGCACTGATGTGCACCTGCTCTAGGACTGAGCCAGAGGAAGCGTTAAACTGCACACTGGCTGTGAAAGGCCTACCACTCCATGGAAACACAGGCCTTTTCATAACGCTCAGGGTTTTCTCCCGGCATCATCCCACTTAAATAGGGAGGGAGACAGAAAACCCAGCTGGCCACACTTCACTGGTTCTAAAACTAATTTCAAAATTGGTGCAAAAGCAAGTGAAGAACGGATCTGGTCTCACATGGATTAGCCTGCACTGGGGCACGGCGTACGGTTTTGATTTGGCAAGAGGACGGCAACGTGTTAATGAAAACCCTAAGAGGGGTCAGGCTTCCAACTCCTAATGATAATTGGCTTGGGGGAAAAACATTCACATCTTTCAACTTAGATTGGCTGCATCCCTTTGCACCAAGTGCAGCCGCAAATGAATCAAGTGCAACATGCATGCCTTTTCTTTGGACTATAAAAACCTTGATTTAAAATTTGGATAACTGTTAAGAGCAGAAAAGCAATTTAAAAAAGGAACATTGTGCAACAACGTTTGTTTTAAGGATCTACCAGAGATGTTTAGTTGGCACAGATGGCTGCTTCACCGCAACGAGGGCGCCTCCTTTATCCAGGAACCAGATATTATGCTCTTCTTCAAAAATCTGCAAAGACAAACAGGAAGGAATAAAACGGTAAAAACATCATTTATTTTACTTATTTACTTTCCACATTTTGTTCCAGCCAGAATTAAATTTAAGGAAATGAATCTCTTTCCTCAAAACTCTACAAACACAACAATGTGGGTATTTTTTAATGTTTCGCACATTTATTAAAGATATTATATTTACATATTTATTAAAATATAAAAAAAACAAAAAAATATCAAGTATTCACAGCCTTGAAATAAAACTGAGCTGTTTGTACTGATCATCCTGTAAATGTGGAAAAACTGAAGCACTGCCAACGTTTTATGGATTCATAGTTAAAACAGGAGTTATGGTTAATAACTGCAGCCAGAAATGCTACAAAGTTGGAAAGTTTTTAAATACGAAAGTAATTTTCAAAAATCTTACATTAGAAGTTTTTTTAATAAAACAAACTCTTAACATTTCCACAAATGAAGCACTGAATAAAATGTTATAAATATAAAAGTGAAATTTTTCTTCAGTTAGAAAATCTACACTAATTACAAAACAAACTGTTTTGTTAGGAATAGTAATCTTGCTTTTGTGGCTCCAAAAAATATTTTGTTTATTTTGACCAAAGTCAAAAAGTTAATGAATTAAAAAAAAGAAAAGAAAAGACATTTGCAAGGAAATGTTTGATTTTCCCGGTGAAGTAAAAATATCTATTTTAAGTTTAACAAAATAGAAAATGATGAAATATTTCTGCAGCCTTTTTTCCACACAAATAAAACTCGTTTACAGCTGCAAATCGATATTTTACTTCTGAAAAAAGACAAATTATAATTTTTCATAAGTACCTTCCATGTTGTCATTTTTTGACATTTTATTTCCATCCTCATGTTTTAAAGTAAAGAAAAAGAAAAAGGTTTGCAAAAACAGAATGAACACATGAACAGGATTTTCATGTCTGGGGAAGAAAATGTGAAAAAGTATTTTCCAACCTAATGAGGAGAAACTGCATCCCAAAATAATATTAATGGACATTTTGCATCTCTTATCAAATCCATCCTTAAAAACATTAGTTAGCTCTTTCTTCTTTTAGATATTAAGATCCATGCAATGTTCAAAGGGGAACATGGTTACAGATGGTTTCATGCTGGTTCCCAGCTCAGTGAGCTGCTGGTGGAAACGTTGCTGTTCTTCTCACCGGTCTCCAGTTGTTGCCTGCATCCGATGATATGAACACGCCAACGTTGTTATAAGACAGCTCTGCTCCAATATTTCCTGCAGTGGAAATGAGAATATGACAATCAAACCACAATGGGATGACAGATAAAATGCTGCAAAAGCTGCACAAACCATGTGATGTTTAGGATTTATGTTCCGAGAAAGCTGAATGTTTCTTAAATACTCCCCAGGATCTCTCCAACCCCCTGTAATGGATACAAAGGAGACTCCTCTCCTTGTGGCAGCGTTGCAGGCTCACAATTAAAGCCTCCAGTGCAGTTTCTGGAGCGTCTGAAGAGGGCAAACTGGTTTTATGGTGTTGATGTGTCTTGGCCGGGGCTCAGTGCGTAGACATGTGTTTGATCTGGATGGTGTTTGTCATGTTGGTGAAATAATCTCTGCACCAGCTGATGGCTCAAAAGGCGCAGCGGGTAAAGTGAGCTGCCGTGCCAAAGCAAAGTCTGGGCCAGCGAGACGAACACACGCGTCAGCTCACACTGAGCCGTCCAGGCAGCAGAGGTGAACGCTTAGCCAGCATTTTTACAAGAGAAAAACACACTTAATCATAAATGTGCTCCTTAAAAAGGCAACTCCTGCTAAAAAAGTCTATTTACCGTCATTTTTCTTTTGCCTTTGCAGAAACGAAATCAGAAACGAACAGAATTGTTTTGCGATCATGCACATTGCTCGATAATCTTACAGACCAATTAAATACATCAGTAGAAACGTTTGTGTTGCAGTATTCCTTAGATGGAACACGTTTCATAGATTTATGACACACAGGCTGACATTTAGGATTTATTCCGTTACTTATGATTATTTTTTCTTTAAAAACATTTAGAATATTACATCAAACCAATAAAATACAAGACTAAGTACAGAAAGTCTTCTGAGTACAGAAAGCCTCGATGTTATTTCTGATTTAATATAAACTTCCGTTGCTGCTTGGACAATTATTCCCTCTCGTTCTGGATCTGTGCAGCTGGACGGATATTTGCTGTTATGTTTCTTTCGGATGGATTTGATCACGTATCACTGTGGCGACGAGGTGTTTTACAGCTGATCAGCATCTTAAAAGCTCAAATGAACTACAACCCTTAACTGAATTGAATTAAATATCTGTTTAATGAAAAGAATGTTTATTACCTACATAAATGGTGTTTCTTCTAAGTCACAAAACACCATCAGTGGAAACAATGTTCTAATTTATTCAATGTGACTTTAAATGCCATCAATCAATCAGGGAGACGATCCTGAACATTATGACTGTGGCAGAAGTGAAACCAAAAGCAGACATTAAACCGTTTAAGTTATGATCAGGATAATAACTTAAACTCTCACCTGTGGCAACGATGATCCCCGGAGCAGAGCTCTTGGTGGAGATCGTTCCTGACACGTAAGGGTTCTCCGACGTTTGCAGTTGGAGGTGAAGGGAACAAGATGGCTGAAGAAGATTGGAAAAATGCATTTAATGACGGAGTGCAAAGAAAAACACAACGTGAATCAATGACAATTTCAAGAAATATGAAATACAATAATGTGAATCCATACAAATTGTTTTGAATTGATGTTTTTGTTTAGTTTTCTTTTTTTATGAACTATTTTTAGGATAAAAGGAGAAAATATAGGATTTTTTCTTCTTTCTGCTGCCTTTCATTTTATTGGTTTGTATTTCTTTTCTATTGCATGTAGTTGCTTTGTTTGCAATTAAATGGATAAATTACTAACTAACTAACTAACTAAACATCAATTTAGGAATCTGAATGTCGTAAAGTTTAATCTGCTGCATCTTTGTGGTTATTGACCAAAATAATTATCCAAGAATCTTCTGAACGTTTTCTGCGATCAATGAAGGCAAATGAAGGTCAAACCAGATACTAACACTGTGCCTAATAAAACGGCCACTGAGTGCATAATTATCATATCACCTCAACTTATTTAAATAAATAAAAAGCAGAAGTTATTCTTTATTTAGAAAAGCATTAAAGTAACAAAAGCAGCAAACAAGATTTGTTAGTGTTCAAAGAGAACAAACTGCGCTTTCACAAGTTTTGCTAATTGCCTTTAATCTGTCATTAATACAAAGAGAGATGGAATTTGCATTAAAGTATGAAGGCATGCCTCGGAGGCATCCACACAACAGAATACAATTACAAATGCTCACAGTGCAGAAAAACAATGTCTGCTTTCATCTTAGCAGCAGACAGCATGTCACTGGTGTAAGGACATCAAAGCAGTGGGACTGAACAGGGCAATCAAAAGGAATCTATGGCAGTAATTAAAATGTCACATGAATGTGCAATCACAGGGAACCTGGAAGCCGCGCAGCCCGGGCCTGAAATCACCTCTTAAGCAGCATGGAGTTCTACTAATGTCTCCAAACATGATCCTCCTAACAGTCGGCCTGTTAGTCGTAGTGGTGGGGAGGCTGTCTAATGAGGACAGAATGTTAACACATGCTGTCGATCTGGATTCGTCACTCTGGCACCGACTCTGCCTCGTTTTCTGATCTGCTGATGTTGCGTCTCTCGACCTGTCGGCTCTCAGCCCACAGGTCGAGCAGGCGGCCGCCCGGCGGGACCTGGCGTTGGATGTTTCCGCTGCTGTTGCCGAGTGTCTTCTTAAAGGAACACTGCTGAGCTGAAGGGAAGATTTGTTGAAGTCCGTCAGTTATCTTTATGAGACGGGTTCCTTTTTTAGAAAGTCTGAGGCCATGGTTCTCCTCTGGAAAAGGGTGAAATACTTTCTCTTTGTCAGGTCAGGGATTAGTCATTGCTTCAGGTATCTTAGTCTCTTGCTTAGTCTTGCTCAAGAGTAATGGGCAGATGGCGCAGAAGATGGATGAATGGTTTGGGGCTTTGTCTGCTGTAATGAAGATGTTGTTCCAGTCTGTTGTGGTGAACAAAGAGCTGGACTGAAATAAAATAATTAGCCGCTCTGTCTTTGTTTTAGCCACTAACTGTGGTCATGAGGTAGATCAACATCCTGAACACGAGTACCTGAAAGCAGCTTCTGCCGCGAGGCACTGCCTTCCAGAATGACAGGTGGATCTTTCATCTGGCAGATCTCCAGGTCTGAAGGGTCCCTGAACCAACTGGAAGGTCTGTGTCTTTGATTGAACTCTGACTTTAACTAGGCCACTACAACACAGATTTTATTCTGTTCATTCTGTTGTAGAGGTGCTGCTGTGTTCAGGACCGTCATCCTGTTGATGACCCAGTTTAGGTAAAGCTCATCTAATCAGTTGGTGTAAATGAACAGGACTTTTCCATCTCAATGCTGAGAACATGCAGAAAATCTGCTGGACCAGTTATTAAACAGGTTGATAATGTGACTCTAGACGACATTAGTAAACTATGTTGACCTAACTGCAAGGTGCCCAAAACAAATAACTCCTGTATCTATTATTTATATTGAATCTCAAACGTCAGATAATATGTTTTAAAGGAAGGCATGAATCAGAAGCATCCACATATAGAATATGTCTGCAAGTTTTTTACAATAACCAAGATTAAAAGTTTTCATTCAATCAACTTTCAGTAAGTTCCTGTTCTGCTCAGAAGATGGAGAGCAAGTTGAAAATCAATCTTTGGGTCACGATGCTGATTCTCCATCACTGAGAAAGACTCCAGAGGAACCGACCGGGTTCTGCTCATGTTTGCATACTGTGATTCTATCTGCCTCAATCTATGATGATGTCTGACTGTCATCCAACTTTTAATATCTACCTAAATGCTAAATATTCTGAATCCAGAATCTCAAACATCACAAAGCTTTGCTGTCTCCTGTACTGCCTGTTCTAATCACTCAGAGAGAAACGATCCTGTCCTTTTCACACACCCACTGTTCAGATGAGGTAGTGAACGGGTCATCAAACATCTGGAGAAGTTTAAAGTTTAATTCCTTAACAGAATCTGCAGAAACATCAGCTGCTGCCTCCAGCTCGCGGTCAGGGTCGTTCTCATTCAGGAGAAGGTCATCCGGCCTCCTGCCCTCCATTCGTCTCACCAAGGGCTTACTGAGTGACCCAGGAGGGTTTGCACTCAAACAATCTTCTTCTCTCAACTTCTGATGATGGATTGCCTTCACAATGAAGGTGGCTATGCTGCATTCTCAAGAAAACCTCATTCTGGTCATCCAGCAAACAGGTCTGTTCACATTCCTCCTGTGTGGCTCCACTGTGACGGAGGTTCAGCAGGGTTTTAAATCCAGCCTGTCAGCGTTAGGTGTTGGCCAGCGCGTGGCGTTTAACCCATAAAGGGAGTTAATGGAAAACACTGGGCCAGCTGAACTCTGAGCCGCCCTGCCTGCAGCCTGCACGACTGAAATAAATGAGGATCTTCAAGCACAGCGAAGACGTGCCGATGCTGTGCTTCCATCCAGGTCTATTCATTTTTATTCTACAGGTTAAACCTCATTCAGGTACCTGGCTCCGTTGCCACCTGTCAGCCCTGCTGAAGCTGATTGAAGCTCTGTGGTTTTCATGTCCTGTTCGCTCTGCTTCGGTTCTGAAGGTTTTCTGTTTCATCATGACATTTTGTGACATTTTGTGAAAGGTTCATGTTCGTTCAAGTTCTTGTCTGTGTTTTGGTAAACTACAATTCATGACAATTTATGCACAGAGACTCCACTCCAGTCTGGCGCCTCCTCTTCATCATGAGGTGACAAACTGTGGTGGGACAGACTCCCATTCCTCAACCAGTCAGCCGGTGGCCACTTCACTCTTGCACAAAACCATTGCTACAATACAGAGAAAAACTCAACAAAAGGACCAAACACTCACTTTGCTGCTTTTGAACAGATATTCCTGGTCATTACAGAATATTTGAGAGACTGAAAATAAAATGCGAAGTGCAGTGAGTTTCCAGAACATTTTCTACGCTCTGCTCTGTTGATTCAGTTTTGGGAAGCAGCTTCTGCTCCGTTTTTCAGTTTAGCGGCAGATTGCTGCAGGTTGCTCCACAGCCAGTTCCCCTCAGGTGCGCCCTGCAGCAGTAAATGTGTACAAACACATTTGCACTCCATTTTGATGCCAAACACATTGTGAGATTAAATACAAAGCAGTCGAGTTGTAACTTAATTACAACTAATGGCTTATTATTTGAATGCCTTACAATGAAGTGAAGCTGTAAACTATAAATCATTATTTCTAATGATGCCTGGCAATGGGCCACTTGGCGTATCCTCTACCCATCAGTGTGAATATGAGCAGAATGATGCTTCAGGAAATATCCGGCCCGCTGTTTTACCAGAATGCAGTGGATGTTGTTTCCATCCAGGTCTGCAGTCGGCGCCTGAAGGAGCCTCCAGTCCCGGCCTTTGTTGTAGGTGATGTAGGTCTTCACCTGGTTGTCCTGCTTCTTGTTTGCGATTAGCATTCCTTTGATTCCAGCCACCTAATGGACACAGACACAAAACACTGCATTCTTTTTCACGTTTCAAACGCAAAACAGAAATTAGGTTTTAAACATCTGAGGCTGTCTGTGATGAGGGAGAGGATCTGACTCTCCCATCTGAGAAGGCACTCGGTGCTGCGGCAGCAACCTTCACAGCTCCAGTTAAATGCAAATTGAATGCTTATCGCCTCCTTCTGTTGTCAACAATTGTCTGCAGAGACGGTTGCAGGTAGCTCTAAGTGCTATCTGTAATTATATCCTTATGTGTCTCAACAATACAGACAGGATGAAAGACAGCCAGTCTGTTTCCCTCAGGAAGACTGAATCACACAAGAGTAAAATGCAGACCTTCAGAAGGCCTTCTGAACCTTCCAGCTCAAGGAGTTTTCTCTCCTGAAAGACCAAAACAAGTTAGAGGACTCTATCTTCCGACACCATAAACAGACGGAAACATCCCAAGCAGTCACCTCCAGCATCAAAGTCTCTTTCAGGTAATAGACACATCCCTGAAACAAAGCAAAGTGAGTTATGTGATGGAAAGGACACGGCCCCTCTGAGTGGCTGCCATAGTGAGGGGCTCCTCTTGGATGTGCTTCCCTCCCTGCAGGGGCACATCTTTATAAGTGGCACTAACAGGCTGCACATTTGACATTGTCAGAGATACATGGTGCTGAAGATGGATGCAGCTAATGAGGGCCCCCCATCCTGATCCAACCAGACATGTCAATCGCTGCAGTTATTATTTATTGCCTCCACCTACTCGCTCTTTCTCTCCTTCACACACACACTTGAGAATCATGCACGTCCACTACCATGGCTCTCCCTCCATCCATCATTTACACCTACATGACTTTTTGTGCAACACAGCAAAGGATGCCAGCAGAAGTTTCGGCTCCACAGATTACTCTGAAGTGAGTGTAAGTGTCTGCAGACACAACGAAAACGAAGGTGATGAGCTGCAGCATGACAGCAAAGATGAACTCTAGCAGGTGGTTTTAATAGCTGCTGTTACAAATGAAATAAAAACAGTTTTTCTGTTTGGTTTTCCTGGTTCTAGAAGACTAAATGGTCTCAGATCACCTTCTTACCAACTTATAAGCCTTTTTGTATCAATTTATTCATTCCATCCTTCATGTAGCATGAGGTGACAGATTAACACCAACCTCCACACACAGCAGTAGAGCAGCTCAGTAATTAGTTGCATTTATTCAAACACATTTACTTGAGTAACTTTTTGGAAAAATAATACTTTTAGGAATAGTTTTACTGTGCTGCACTTTCACAGCTTATTGCTCCCCATCCTGGAGTAAAATGCCTGGATACTCAACCCACTGTGACAAACTTCACTGAGTGAAGAAACAGATTGATTTCATCAAAACGCAGCATTCATAAAAAACCTGTTTAAAAGATTAAACAGGTTTTTTACAAGGAGAGGAGGATGGGAGTCATATTGTCATGTCTGCACACTCTCATCCAGGACATGCTTCTGTGGAAAATCACCTCTGCTGCCCAGAGAATAAGACTGCCTTCAGTCAGAGGGCTCTTCAGATTAGCTGCAACACTTCTGGAGATGCTTCCTGCCTACAGCATTGCCATCCATACCAACTCTTTAAACATACTTGGAAAATATACATGAGACATTTAATTTGCCTTTGGGATAGATGCAATACTTCTGAACTGAACTGCATTTCAAACCAGCACAAAAGAAGTGTACAGAAGTGTTAAAAGGCAAATCATTTCCAGTGATGGGATCAGTGTAGCAGTGTGATATTCAGAGGGACAGAGCCTGTCTGAGTTTCTCCTTTGGCTTTAAAACAGCCTGACAGCCTCTTCATTCATCTTCCTGTTGTTGCTGCATTGGAGAGCAACTTCGCACTAAATTCAATAAATGCATTCACTGTATCATCTGCAGATTATAAAGATGCCACTGATCTTATGAGGATGCATTTCATTAGAGGCACAGAGTCGTTGGTCAACAGCAGGGGATCACCAATTATCTAAAGTGAGACAACGAAGTTACATATTTTATGACTCATTTACAGTTTTAACGCCTTCGTGAGTTTAACTACGCTGCTAGGAAAACGCAGACAGGATCAGCATGTAATTATTTACACAGAAAACATGCTACCCCTGTCTTTGACCAATCATCTGCACTGGAGAGCATTGCAGATGATTGCAAAGTTAAAAGCAGAGAGTGAAAAGATAAATGGCTGTTGATAAAGTGAATCCCTGACAACCAGGAGCCACCAGCGAAAGCAGCCCTCAGTGAGGAAGTTTAACGAGTTTGCATGGAAAAATGACAGCAGTTTTCCCACAAACGGCCTACAAATTGCTCCTATGAAGTCTGACTAACAATAAAATCATTGCACTAATTGAGGAGGTAATTGTGCAATTTTCAGCGTGGAGTCAGAAAACTTGAATGTTTTCTTCTGTGGGAGAAAATCAGCAAGTGTCTTTGTGAAGGAGCACAAGATGGAGCTCTCTTCCCAACGACACGAGTCTTGGCTGCATGAAAACGTTCTGCCTTGTTTAACTGATCCATTCATCACAAGCAGCATCACATCATCTCTGTTGTTTAGGATAAGATCAGAACTGGAAACGCAGCAAGGCTGCAAATACTGTTAAAGCCCATTTCTGTCTCATCCTGCAGGGAGCAGGCCAAACAACTTCCATCTGGATTTGACAAAATAAAAGCACTTATGGGCCACAAAAAACAAAGTCTTACTGTGCAGCTTCTTCAGTTTTATTTGCATGAAAATGAACGCAATATTTAAATGAAATCAGTAAACTACTCTAATTTTTGCTTGAATAAGCAATATGATCGAAAATCAAGATGGATGGAGCAGATAGTTTGAACTTCCTCTTTCTCTCTTTGGGAGTTGGGGTCATAGTTCAGGAGTCATTTGAGCTTTTGAGATGCTAATCAGGCGCTCACTATTTTAAAAACAAAATATTGTTGCCGTGGTTACACATTATAACTGTCCAAAAGCTAAAGAGGAAAAGAAAGAGCAAGATTCCTTTCAGCTAGAAAAGAACAAACCAGAGCTGCTGACTCATGATTCTGCCAAGAACAGAACAATTTTAGAAGATGTTTAGTAGATTTTCATATCATATGATATAGAAATCGATTAATTGTGCTGGTCTGCCATATTTCCAGCAGAATCATTCCAAGGACTGCAAATGGCCGACAGGCAGCATTTTGTTTTTCTGTCTTCTCCACCTGATCTGCACAGTTCAATTTCCTCAGTCCTTCAAACTTCCCTGTTAATAACACATTTCTGCACATTTTTATGCTCAGTCTTGTTTACCTCATTACTTTTTTTCGGTTTAATTTCTTTTCCTTACAAAAGAAGCACTTTGAGTTGCTCTCATTGTGAACGAAGAGAGCTCCATAAATTAAGCTTTGACTGACTGATATGTGAAGTGTATCTAATGGGCCACAGTTTTTCTTCAGAGGGTCTGAGGCGATCGATGGGATTCTGTTCGTTTCATCCACTGGAAATAACAGTCAGGAAGTGCAGCTGGCCTCCTAAAGAGGTCCGGCAGTCTGGGAGAAATTGTGTCACAAAGACAGAAAATGACTTTCAGAAGAATGGCTGGTTTTCCAACACATTACAGCTGACAATGGAAAATGGGCTGAAAGGTGTTTTAGCAGGTTTATTCCAAACCTACCAGGTGACAACGTATAACGTACAGTACAATTCATCTAAAGCTGTTTAGATCCGTGGGCGGTGCCTCCCCTGGACCACTCTTATTCCTTTTTCACGCTTCTTGCAACTGATTTATTTATTCTAGTTATCTATCTGCTTGTATAACAGCACAGGTGTTTCCAGAATGGTTCTCAGCTATTTGCATGCATATACTTAAAGCTGCGCCGTTTCCTGCCGCAGAAATGAAGCAGTGTCGCATGGAAAGGGGAGCTGCACTCACAATCAGCGCACATATCCACAGCCTGAGCAGGAGAAGTAATGGCATTGTTAATTACCGCCCCGCTGCCACTGCAGCTGCCCAATATCTCACTTCCTTCCTCCATTCCCTCCATCACACCTGCCAGTATTGGAGTGATAAACTAGGTTCACAGAGGAGTGTAAAGGCAGGAAGTGAACTCTCCTGCAATGAATGCAAACACATACAGTAGGAAGGCAGCGAGCTAACAAGGTCCAGTCTGTGGCTTGATAGCACTGAGCCACATTCTCTATGCTGTGTGTGTCTGCTGTCAGGAAGATGGACGAGTGCAGCCTGTTATGCAAACCTGTCCACATTCAACAAGTCAACTAAAACAAAGTCTGAGGATGAATGTCACACTTCATCCTGGCTTCCAGAGCTCCGTCTGCACCATCATTACAAATGATCACAAACATTCAATAATTCTGTTGGGGACCGCCATGTTTTTGTTTTTCACTCACAATTTGCTAAATCTGAACCTTTTAATCCCAAACATTGACCAAATACATGAAATGCTAAAGTTATTGTAGGTCAAAGAGAAAACTGTCTTCTACTCTGTAAAGGCAAACTGATCAGTCGTAACGTTATAGAAACAGAGTAAATACCAGGTTTTATTTTTATTTTTGTAACTTTTAACTGGGGTCCTATATTGTGTCCTTCAAGTTGATGAATTTAAGCAGAATAATGTGAGAGGTGCAGATTTGAATCGGCTCAACGGCTCTGTCTCAGCATGTTGGTTTTCTTCTCCATCTGCCGTTCAGTTTGTTTCAAACGGAGGGAACAGCGGAGATCTGGTTACTGTAGGAACACGCTGCATCACAACACGTTGTGATGTTGTGTGTTGCTGTCAGAGCTGCAGACGAGTCAGCGTGTCCGTGACGGTTATGATGTCACGCCTGATCACTGTAACGCTAAATGGCTCCATGTAGCAAAAAGGGAAACTCATCAAAAACAATCAAAGTAGCAGAGAAGATTTCTCCAGTTTCCCACAGGTGATGTTGGTCTGCAGATCAGGTTCAGACTGATTGGTAACAGAGGTGATTTGGTTACAACTGGGACCACTGGTAACCCTAACCAGTGGTAACCAGGTAACGCATTTGGGTTTTCTTCTCTCAGGGCAGTGGGACATTTAAACAACTTTTATTCCAACAACTAAATGAAACAAAATTTGGCCGTTTGCAAAGTTGTGAAGTTGTTTTGAAAGAGGATTCCAAGAGAAAATTATGGGATTACAAGATTATCTCCATTTATGCATTAAAGGATTAGTTCTGTGGCCCAGTGGGGGAATAAACTTGTTGCGTTTAATAAAAATATACCATCCACAAAACCTCACTGGCAAATGAGCATCTCAACTGGAGAGTGCTGAATTCAACAAAGGGATTTTGATTTACATGACAATCTTTAAGTGTAGCTCTCTCTGTTAACATCCAATAACAAATAGGAGTGAACACTAAAAAAAACATTAAAGACACTTTATTGTGTTTGTGCAGAACAATTGTGATACTTTCCCTGCAGGTGAGAGTGACTGGTAATTTCTCTGCATTCTTTGTTTACTGATATTCGTCTCTGGTTTAATTATTGCTTCTGTCCCCAGATGATGACAAATGTACAGGAATGTTTCCTTTAAAGGTCAAAGCTGCAGCTAGATTTACAGTAAGCAGTACAGTGGGTAAAATTAGTGCATGTTGATATTCATCAAGGTAATATTTCATCATATTTCAAATATTTCGAGTGTTAAAACAATCTGACCAGATTCAAAACAACCTAGACCACAAGTGAAGTTCTGCGTAATGCAGAAAAGTTTCTGCAAAAAGGCAGAAGACCAAGACATGAGCTGAAATCTGTAAGAACTTACAAAGCCCGACTACTACAGTTAGAAAAATTAATGTCAGCTGGTTTAATATTACTGATGATGAGCTATAAAAATATTGCACACAACGGGTAAAAAACTGGTAACTAATGGCAACGATTACTTGTTAGCTGCGTTTTATTGCTTTGTTTTAGAGCAGAGCTTTTCTGAAAAGGTTTCTGAATCTAAAGGTGCAGCACCAGCCAAACAGCTCAACTCCAAGGTTTCTCTTCCAGTTTGTCAAAATGAGTCATTTTATTTCAAGAACAAGAGTTTTATCTTAGATAGTTCAGATTGTTTTACAATCAAACATGTAATGTAAACAGTGATCAATACCCAATAAATTTTAGTCATGAATAATTCAAATATTTGTACCTCATAGAGGTCCAACATCTGGTTCCCAGCGATGCCTCTGGTTGTCTTGACATTTTCCATGGCCAAGGTGAAGAAGATCCCTCTGGTGTCAGACAGGTAGAGATTGTAGGTGTCGTTCTGGTTCCACTCCTGCACTGCTGCAAAGACCTGCTTCCCGTCAGTGCTGACGATGTGTAAATCCTTTCGGGAAGCAGCAGGAGAGATTAAGAGAAGTTATGGCTGGAGGAGCAGAGATGACAGATTAGTCCATCCTGACCCTGTGGAATTGGTCATGAGATCAACGCTGTGGTATGAATGCAAATGGCTGTGGACATACTGGACGGTATCGCCTACAGTGAGAGCCACAAGGACTTTTGAAAGGTCAGAATACCAGGTTTCAATAAAAAAAAGGTAAAAAACTGAAACATGTGGTTTTATATCAGTTCTAACCTTTCAAAGTGTAAAAACTAAATCTTGAGGATGACAGACAAACTTAATTAATTGCATGATTGCTTTGTTCTGAGATTTATCAATAAAAAACTTTTAATGAGTCTCCAACACATATGCTGCAGCTTACCTTAGGCAGGGAGTATTTTGGCAGTTTGATTTGTATGAAAGCTTCTCTCTTATAGGAGACGTAATAAGTCGCTCGTCCAGAGGTGGGAACCTTTAAGGCAATGAAAGACACCAAATTATTTTCCATTCGAGTCTAGAGTTTACAGTTAAATTGAGTTTTTGTTGTAAAAGCTTTTTTCTTGGGTTAGCATTCTTGGTGTAGATCTCGGCTTACCACTAAAATACACCAGTACATAAACAGGCATCATCTAAGCCAGCTCTGCATGGGCTTCCACCTCATTGTGTAAGAGGAGCTTGAGTTTCCCAGTCGTCAGGTCATCAGGAGCTTTATATCACTACTAGGGCAGGATAACCCATTGCAAACAGTTCATAGGTGAAGAATCACACCAAGTGCAGCTCATAGAAGCCTCATGATGAGAAACATCAATGGAAACAGTTGCCTGAATGTGTGTCCCTGTTAGGAGCCGGACCTGGAGGAACCCAGAGGAAACATCGTCCTTAACAGCTATGGGAGGGGCAGAGAGGTCGGGTTCTCCTGAGCGGGCCGAGGGACGGTCGGGTTCTCCTGAGCGGGACGGTCGGGTTCTCCTGAGCGGGCCGAGGGACTTTAGCTGTACGATCCTCATCTAGAGCTGACTTTTATCTTTTCAATGTTGCCAGTTATAAACTTTGGTCCGCTTCAGAGTTTGTCCTGTTTCAGGTTTTTTAAAAGATCTTCTTGCAAGTCTATAAAATTAATATCAAGACTTGTAAAACAGTTGAACTTTAGTGCCGGTAATTTTCTCGTTTTCAAGTAATTTTCAATCAGTGAAAGTGATGGGTTTCAGTCTGCAGCCAGGTTTGTCTTTCTGAGCAGTTTCTCAAGGTGGGTATCCAGAGAGGTTGATTTTGGTCATTCATTGGTATCACCTGACTTCAATTCAAAAAATAAACTCCTCCCCAGGTGTCAGTGAACTTGGAGGTTTCAAAGTGGACTTTGGTAAATATCTCACAGGACAATCAATAGTCTCATTATTCTTTGTCAGGAGAAATCTTTAAGTTGCCTAACCAAGCCTCATCTGCAGTTTAGGGGAGGGGAAAGTCATCCTTCATGTTGCAGACCTTTAGCAAACATACAAGCTGTTAGGAGTCTGTCTGGGGAGGTGTGTGTTAGAGAGCTGTCATTAGCCTTGGGGCAACAAAGGACGGCCATTTGTACACATTGAGATACAACGCGCAAAATGATTGGCCAGTTTCACAAACCAATTTTCCTCCTGATCAATAACGACATAAAATTCATTAGAGAAAAACCTTCAATTTCACAGCTTGCAGAAGAGAAACGATGTGAGCATCAATGTTGCACAACGGGGCTGATTTTGTTACTGATCTTGTAAGTGCTCTGTGTGGCTCAGAGGAGAGAAAACAAGCTTTGAGAGGCAATTCAGCAGCCGAGCTTTGAGCACTGCAGAACATTCCCACATGCAATCGAGTGAGGGAGTCGCAGATCGATGGCCAGATAACCAGCAGCAGTTTGAACTTTAAGAGGAATTGGTACGATTGATTTTCTCCCCACCCTGCCAATCCCTTGCAGGACCTTTTGTCTGTGACGCACGCATGTTAAAACGTGGAGGCAATTGGACTGAGAGTTCGCCAGATGCCTGAGAGTTTGCATGAAAGACTCAGGTCAGGTCAGACATAACTGAAGAATCTTTAAGGAACAGCTTAATTTCTGTCTCTAAAGTGCTGGAGGGCAGAAGCTGGAGGGCGGGGGGTAAAGAGGGCAAAGGTCCAGGTAACAAAACTGCAACAGAAGTACAAACAAGTTGAAAGAAAAAAGGTTGAGTTAGGATCCAAACTAACTCTAGTAATCTAAGATTGATTTAATCTGGTTAAAAACTCTCTAATGGGACACAATAGACTTCAGGGAAATATTCCCTTATATGTTACAACATATAGATCCTTTAGAACAAGACGTCACCCAGGAGAGTCTGAAATGAGTTATAGTTACTAACACTTTTACATAGTTCACAGTGAACTTTTACTTAAATCACCTTTATGCCATATGTTGATGCTAACTTTGCACTTCATTAGTCTCCCACATATTTAGATGCTGATTGATTTGGATTTTTTGTTATTTTGCTACCAATGAGCTATTCCTAATAAAGTGGCCATAGACCAGGTGCTTTTGTGTTGCTTAACAAACTCAACAGACACAGAGGACCACAAAAGATTCTGGTGGCTAACTGGATCACCTGTGCTGGTTTTGAGGAGAAGCTGTGTATTTATCTGTACTTTTGTAAACTCTTAAGTTAATAGAGCATAATTTGAACAGTGTGAAAGGAAACATTTATCACTCTGCAGATAACAAGCACGAATTGCATCTGTATAACTTTGGAATTAGGATGTTACCATAAGATTTACAAAATAGCACATCAGCTAAGTTTTTCTAAGTTTAAGTCCTTCCTGCTTCCTGAAAGCTAAATGAAGCTGTGTGTGTGTGTGTGTGTGTGTGTGTGTGTGTGTGTGTGTGTGTGTGTGTGTGTGTGTGTGTGTGTGTGGGTGTGTGTGTAATTGAGTATTTGTGCAATTTTAGCTCTAAAAATGATTCCCAGGCATATTTTGAGTTGCAGGCAGATAATGTTCTGCTGTGTTTCCTTGAATTTCTACAAGACATTGTATTTTTTTTTTCAGGTTAATAATTTAGGACTTCTGTGTTGTAAAGTTAAATTATAGAAGTTGTTGATTATTACAATGAACTCAAAGTATTTATGGAGATTAGGGAACACAGCTTTCTGCAGATACTTGAGATCCCCTTTAAAAGCATTCATAGAACTGCGTATTTCAAGAGATACACACCAAATACAGCGATACACAGCAGGCGCTAACATCCACATTCTTCACTTTTTTTGCTCTCTGGGGCGTGCAGTTGATCATTGTCAAGGAAAATAAATGTTGTTCCTGGACTGACTGGTTTGCAACTCCAGTCAGTCCAATGCTGTGCATCATGCCAAGTTATTAATGACATAACTTTGCATTACGCCAAATTATTTCAGTTTGCAAACCTGCTTCTGCTTTCCAATAATTCAGACAAGCTGTATGGAAAAAGGGGATACACTGCATTGTTAAAATATTTACTTGGTATTAAAGATTGTGCCTTGTTTGCAGTTGCAGAGTGCATGAAGCAACCGAGAAAATGAAAAGATGAAGGTTAAACAAGAAGACAATGAGCTGAAACACAAGAGGAAATTTTATCTCCACTTTGTTTGTACTGGCTGTGTCGCAGCAACATGATGCAGTTTACTATCGGGCAACGTGTTCCCAGTCAGTTTCTTTGTTGGTCATGGTGTAAATAATGTTCTTGGAATTAACTTTTACATTTTATTCTGAAGGTTTCTTTGTGAGGCCTCTGCATGGATCTGCAGTGTTTCCAGTGTGCAACATGGAGTTCAATGTGTGTAAAAGAGTAAAGAAAAGGAAACTGAAGACATAAAATAAAAAAGACAATTAGAAAGTTTTACATTAAAAAGTAGCTGTTATATTGTTACAGTGTTCTTTATCATTATCCTCACTTAAGTTTAGAACTGAACCAGCAAATCAGCAGACTAATTTGTCCAGGCCAGTTACAGAGGAAGAATCACTGTCTGTAAATGAGAGAACGGCAGCTTCTAAGTTGATGAGTTCTTTATTGATTTTAAACAGTCGGCCATGCCAGGAAGACGTGACAGAGGACAAAGAGTTGTAGTTAAGTGGGTTATTTCCTTTTCACCACGCAGTATGAGTGATATTTTATGTACAGTAGATGGAGGGTGTATTGTATTTATGGTACTTAAACCTTTAGTACTTGCAGAGCACTGGCAATGAGGCATTCATTTCATTTTGAAGAGTTGGAGAACAGATGCTTTTAAAGTTGCAGGATCGTAGCTCTCCAATACTCAACTGGGACACTGCTGTTTTAGATCAAAACAT